CAATAGTAGATTCTACTATTCGATAGCAGAAGTGATTCATCGATTGAACTCCAATATGAATCGCTTCTGCTTCGATAGTCGGAGATGACGTTAGTATTTATCTGATTGTGTTTATCAGGGCCGTACAACCCATCGTCTGAAGGAGAGTCAGAGGTCATGAACTATGTCGTGGCCCCGCGAAGCACCGAGAAGAATTACATATTCCCGTTTGGTGCGGATACGTACGTCTGCAAGGAGAGCCCTGCTGCTGCTAAGGCTTCAGCTGGTAGCCACTTGGAGCATCTCTCGAATTCATTCGAGTGGTGGCCTCTTGTGGGTTAGCGTCTTGTCGCATACACATGGACCGGTGATGCTCATCGTTACATATGACAATAAAATTCAAGGAGTTACATCACTCGTCAATATCTAGTGAATGAAACCATTGTCACTCTGTATGCACGAGTACGGTGGGACATATTCTGTGAGTAGATAGTATTTACGAGATTGACTCTTATGATGGGATCACAGTAGTAGGTTCGTTACTGCTCAGGTTGTGTATTGGCCTTAGTCGAGGAGATAGTCGATAAGGACTCCCCTGTAGATCGTGGATTCGCCTGCGTACGGCCGCCTGGTCATCATGCTACGTGCTCAGAAGCGATGGGGTGATGGACTGTCTTCTGGCTGAGGGTTTAGTCTCAGTGTTCTCAGATTCTGCTTTTTCAATAATGTTGCCATTGCAGCTAAGGCCTTACGAGAGCGTTACGGAGTGGAGAGGGTCGCCATAGTGGACTGGGATGTCCATCATGGCAATGGGACGTGTGGTATATTTGAGGAGGATTCGGGCGTTCTGGTCATATCGGTAAGCTGAGGAAATCGACTTTCATGAACGGAGTCTAGATGTGGGAATTATTCCCTAGTGGGGGAAGATACGCTCATGGTCAGCTATATGTGTCGGTGTACACCTCTGCTCGAATTTATATATATAAACTCCTGAGCTCAATTGAAGAAAGTGGACAGATGATGGTCCGATGGTCGTAAACTGCACTACGGGCTTCACACAGTGTGGACTACATACTTCCTGTGAAGTGGCGTTTAGTAGTGGTAACCCATCTGGTGGTCGCCCGTGGGCCATCGATTGAATATCCGGGTCATCAGCACTGCTGCTAAGCAGCGTGGAAAAATACGCACGTGGTCAACTGAGTGTGTTGGTGGCGATAGAAAAATCGTGTAGAAACTCCTTGGTGTCTGCACACTTCTACCAAATTCTTGAGGAAAGCGAACATATATTCCTCCAATACTGTGTGGTGGAAATCCCTTTTTCTCAGTACCTTATCAGCATCAGACTTATCGTCTACGCAGGTGCATCGGTTTGATGGTGGCACATTTTATCCAGGATCTGGTAACTGGACGGAGATGGGATCAGGGGACGCTGTGTAGGCTAAGGACATCACCAGAGGAGGACGGACGTTATTTTAGGGGATATACTTTAAATGTGCCGATCGATGGGACGTATGGAGATGAGGAGCTACACTTCTGTTTCGACAAGTTGGTGAGTTCGGAGTGTCGTTGATAACATCGGTAGTGGCTGCCTCCAGGTGCTGCCGGCGTTGACCTCGTTCAAACCAGAGTTTATATTAGTGTCGTGTGGTTTTGACGCGTGTATAAACGACCCACTTGGTGAGCATGTGTTCAGTATAGTGACGGTCTATTCGTGCTGTTTTTGTGGGGAATGGCTGGAGCTAGAAAAATTCCGAATTTAGCCGAAAATTCTCCGATGAGAGTCCCCATGGATGCAATCAGTCGATTTCGTGATAGCGCGATGGCCACCAGAATGTGTGTCGTAGGAGATGTTGATTATTCAGGTGAATGTGAGGTCACACCGGCGTGTTATGGCAGACTCACACGTCAACTAATAGAGAGCTTCCCTGAGGGGAGTGCACCAAGAGTGGCACTTGTGTTAGAGGGAGGGTATAATTTGGACAGTATAGCGGCATCAGCAGAGGAATGCATGTAGGAGTTGACGCTCATATTGTACCGGGGGCCCTGACGAGCCTGTGATGGTGGTCTTCAGGCGAGCGTTGCTTGAGGATGATGGTATAGACGGTGATGGAGGGGTAGAGCGGCTCGATAACGAGTGAGTTCATGGACAATATAGTAGTGCTATCTATGGTGGGCTGAAAACAGCGAAAATCATATATTCCTAGTTGCTGAATGGTACTGCATCAGACCGTATATTTTGCTTAAAACTCTTCTAAGGGTCCGTTAGCAACATCTTAAACTGTGGGCAGGCTGAGGGAGGGGGACGGACAAGGAGAGAGACAAAGGCCAGGATATCGGACTTCACCTCTCTGTGCGGCGGGGAGACCACCCTCGAATCACTCGACAATGGGATGCGGGCTCTCTCATTGTCCTTCCCCCTTCCATGAGTTAACCGTTAATGAGCTCTGTTGCGGAGTCCGACGAGGATGGACACTTTATCTCTGCAATATGTTAGCTGTGTAGCATGCTTTTCTTAGGGTAGTGGAAGGCAGTAGCCCTACTAGATTGCGCAGTGTGCCCTTGGGGGAACCTAAGACCTCGTTGATTCGAACATTGCATAATCTGACATCGTGCTTGGCAGCTCTTCCTGGCACCATGGATATCCCTATCGTCCCGCTGCCTAGGAGGGTGAGTTATACAGTATTAGTGACTGAGTCGCATCACAGCATTGGTCGGCCTCTGGTGGCTTCACTGTTGCCTCTACTATATATACTTTTTGCAATAGTCAAGTAAATTTCAAACACGTTTTTCGCGCCGGTTTATTGTTGATAGTTCGAAAGGACCTATTTCTGTCAAGGGGAGATGTAGTTCTCTCTCTGTGTGTCATGATGGCGCCTTGATCCAAGGCTTTTGGAGTATATTGCTATATATATACCCCAGTGTTGGAGTAGGAATATATGTTCGTTCTCCCCAGCTGAGCTCAGAAGCTTCCTCACTTTACACAGAATCCTCAGAATTTACATTTTTTCACTGACACATGTAGTTGACCATGTGCGTGTTTTCAAACACTGATATATGAGCGCTATATGTAATACTACAGGAAGCTCGTTGAACTCAAAAGAGCTATTTCTCTATTACCATCACGACATCTAGACATCACCAAAAACTTACGATATTTATCATCGTTTTCCCTGCCAGGCTGCACAGAGGCAAAGTCCTGGCAAACGAACTCCCAATAGGAAAAAGCGCAGTTCTTCCTTCAAGCTTGACACGTCACCGACAACGCTTGGTAGGAAGGTTTTGGGAGCCTAGCGGAGCGAAGCTCATTCGTTTGTTTTCCAACCTTGAAAAGGAGTTTCTCAACATGCCTAGCGCAGGACCGAATCAGAACGTTGTGTTTAAATGAGGGCGATGCGTTATAACAGTCATTGCTGTGGATCGAAAGTTGGCTGGTACGGAGTTTTCTCATAGATATGACAGAAAAGGAGGCCCCAGAAGGCAGCGATACGTCTGTCCCAGGTGGGCAGTTCAGTGGGAGTCGGTGGTCACTCAGCGGCTCGCAGGTTCTGGAAATGAGATTGCTGTGGTCAGTGGGGGAGGACATGCAGGTGAGAGTGATCTTATGTGCTTGGTAGTGATTTGGTGGTAGGAGGAATAACACGCGATCCGGAGAGGGATGGGTATATCATCAAGAAAACTAAAACTAAGGAGGCTGAGGTGAAGTTTCCCTTATGGTCGCTTCAGAGCTGATTTTTCAGTTTTATTCGCTACTATTTTCGCTGGTCGCGGATCCTCCATTGGTGATTCCGTCTATTACTGAACGGCAAAAGGATCTACTGGAGAAATTGAAGCCTTTGGTTCCGTCTTGTATACGCGTGCAACGATTTTCCGAGGATAAGAAAAGCTCGTGAGAATCCTTCACCAGGCTTGTGGAATTTGGTGATGATAAAATAGGTATCGAATTTGGCTTGAAGATTTGACTCGGGGTATGAGAGAGCCCTGTGTCATTGATGTCAAACTGGGTGATAAGTATTGGCAAAATGATTACACTGGTGCCAAGGTTAGTCGTATTAACATCTGGTCGCTACCTGGGAGATTGGGCCTTTTACCAGTTACAGGAGAAGTTGGATAAGGTCAGGGAAAGTAGTGCAGGGGAGCTCGCAGTGAGGTTGACAGCTCTTTGTAAGAGCGGGTATTGTATGCTGAGTGGCTGTTCTTGCTGTGTGGGGAGGTATGTTGGCTTTTCTCAGCTGAGCTTGGGAGTTTCCTCACTAATTATGGAGGTTTATATGTGAAGCAAGGTGGTGTACTAAAACCAGCAAGAATTTCTCGAAATTTTTAACAATTTTCATATTGTCAGCAGCATATGTAGCTGACCATGTGAATATTTCCCACACTGGTTTTTGTCGGGATTCCCTCACACGGGTGACCTGTTCTTGTTATGCAGTGTCCAAAACGCACAGAGAGAACGCGAACGACTATACGATAGAAAATTTCGCGCAGATTCAGAATCTGTAATCATTTCGGTTTTAGTACTATGTATGATAGCTTGAAAATGAATTATGCGTTTTCCGCATAATAAGCTTTGTATTGATCAGCGTGGGAAAATATGCACATGGTTAACTACACATGTTGGTGACAGTATGAAAATTCTGAGAAAATTTCGGGAAATTGTGGTAGGTTCCTACCCTGGTTTGTATAATATTGAGTTTCCTCGCTAATTATAGGAGTTTATATACAATGGAGTTTCACCCGTGATATGAAAAATACTAGCGCAAAACACATTTCACGACTATTGCAAGGCGGAAATGTCGCGTTTTTCACGGAGTTTTACGCCACTTTACATGAAATGGGTGAAACTCCAATGTATATAGACCTCTATAATTAGTGAGGAAGCCTCTGAGGTCAGCTGAGGAAAGCGACCATACATTACAACGCTAGTATTGATCTCACAAACTGTTTATGGAGGTACTAATGGAGCTGCTGGTGGTCCAGGGGGTGGTCAGTGGAATCTGAGTAAAAAAGAATGCGCTGATCTACGGACCACAGCTGAAATTATAACTGTATGAGCTTGGTCGTCGTGGTAGTGCGATCGTTTGATAATTCAGGCTCTTCGTCGGTTCATATGGATTGATCGTGAAGCATTAGGCCGGCAGGTACTGTGTGCGTAGCTTCGGAGGTTGGTAGATATGTGTTCTAGGCGGTGGCGATAACTAAGGGGATTCTTGAATGGTTCGAGGAAGCGAACGGAGCATTTGAAATTGTGTGTTCATCTGTTCTGCTGGCATTCGATGCTGCTGATGAGAAGCTCCAGATGAGAGGGAAATTGATTGACTTCGCACATGTGGATTACTCGGGTGAGTCGTTGTGATGCGAGGGGAAATTCTATGCAGTGGAGTCTCACCATAGTGATATGAAAAACACTGGTGAAAAACATATCTCACATTTCACTTCGCGGAGAACAATTGTGTTCTCGGTCGCCGAAACATGTATCGCTTATAGTCTACATGGAGTATTACATCATTTACGTGAAGGTGAAATTCCATTGTGATGGTATATTAGTTTTTCGTGTGATTATATGAGAGTCTACTACACTGCTCGATACACTCGTAGACTATCGTTTTTCTCTAAGACTAGGGTAGTTGCATCTCCTTGATTTACGCGCCATCTAGAGACCGAATAGGTATTACCTCGTTGTGGATAACTGTTGATGGCGCGGGTTCTATTCCGGGGTCGGACACGTGGAAAAAAGTGCGATGAGAATTGTTGTCGAAGATTGGTTTCGGACATGATATAAGAAAGCCTCTCAATATTGTAGCTCGAAAGTCGTAGAGTAGAAAAGTTACCTCTGCACACGTATTTCCGGTCACTAGATGTCGGGTACTGTGGTATCCGCTGTGTTTAGTGCGTGTCACCAATACGATGTTGTTTAGGCGCGGTTGGTGATGCTGGAGTTGTTCGAGGATTACGAAATCTCGTCGACTACTGGCAATGTGCTAGTCAAGATTGAGTTCTACCTTTTCATGATGATTCTGATCAAGTTCTGGAAATTACTACCTGCTGTGTGACCCGTTATTTTTGATGTTTATCGGACGTGTTGAGTGACTGAGGGGCTCTTCCGAATGATAGGAAGCGAATCGGCTATTTTTTGGTATGGTTTACTCTATAATCTGTAATGACTTTCCGTATAGTGGCTTCCCCTACGAATAGTGACCATTTTGATAGATTCTCATAGTCCCGACAGCGAGAGTGTTCACTGCGAATTCACCTTAGCAGTAGAGTCAGCTCACCGAGTAGGTGATGTGCATAGTGCTCGAGGTTGTCGTTGTGTGTTGTGCGTACAAGGTTTTGAGTGTCCTACTGTATGATTTCAATCAGAATGAGCTTTTTGGTAGTGAACTGATCGAAGGTGCAAGTCGTGAAGTTCGTTGAGACATGTAGCAATGAAATGTAGTACATCTGATATTCGATGGAGTTTCACTAGTGATATGAAGAAATAGTGAATAACATATTTCACGACCACTGCATAGTGTGAATATCGCGTTTTTCACCGAGTTTTACGCCACCGTGAAACGGGTGAACTTCAGTGAATCGGTCCGTGTTGCTGATATGTACATGGTCAACTACATGTGTTGGTGACGATGAGGAAATTCTGGGGCCATTTAGGGGGATTACTGGTAGTTTCTGGACACTTGTATTCTAATTTCTATAGGTAGTGAGAAAATTCCTTAACTCAGCTGAGGAAAGCGACTTATTCAGACTGGCTCTTTTAGTGGAGGGGGATTTCGGTGTTGACTTGTAATAAATGACAACTCTGATTAGCCGTCTAAAACAGAGTTTCTACGCAGCAGTCCTGGCTGCATGCTGCAAGGCTACTGCCTTCTACTTCCTCCTTCGAGTCATGCTGATCGGAGGGGACACAGTATGGACGAACATTCGGATTAGCGTTGGTGTCCTGGTCCTGCTACTACTGAGATCAACTCAAATCGGCGTTTACTACGGTAAGGGCTGTGCGTGTTTGCTCTTCGGTTTTATATGTTTTAAGGGCGTTTACTATAGTGAAAGCCCGTACTCGTGTGTATGGTATGTTATTGACAATATAGTGGGTTGAAAGTAGTTCATGTGACATTCAGAGGGCTGTCGTGAAATCCTTGCGAACTCTATTGTTATTGTATGAAATGGTATGGTACGTATTATATATGATTTTTAATTACATATATGTATATATAACATATAGAGTAGCTTTATACTAGGATTGGGGTTCCTCGATATGGAGTGTTGTATCAGGAACAACAGCATCAGCATCATCAACAGTCCGTGGTATACCAACAACCTTCTACGCCCTCTGTGTTCCCCTCTACGCTTACCTCGTGGCGTCTGGTGACTTTGACGTCGTCACATGGGGCTCTTGGATAGTGGCCATGGCATCTCAGGTAGATGAGCCTCAACTGTGTGTTCGAAGTTTCTCCGCTTTCAGATCAAAACGTTGTGGCTGCGCCCGGCCGAGTTGGAGCTTTCCTGGTCTCTATGGGTATATCCTTTGTATTCATCCTGGAGGGCTGTCCGTCCCCACGCTTTGGTAGGTAGTAGCGTATCCCATTAGAGAAGGAGTCGTGCTCTTAGTTGATCTTGGGAACATCTATCCTTACTGGGTTGCTGGGGATGCTGTGGGGTCCTCAGCTGGTCATACATGCAGCGCTGTTGCAGAGTGCCGTCGAGGTGAGCGTGGTGTGGTATTGGAGGTGGCATGTCGTCTTAGGTCTACTCCGTATTGATACAACGAGTGCCTCGGGTCCTCTGTGACAGTCTGCTTTCATCATCGGACGTGTTATCTGTCCCTAAGGCCTGGCTGGAGTCACAGAAGCTCAACTCACTGGAGGTGGGCTTCAGGCTCGAGGAGTTCATCACTGAGTAGGTGATATCAGGTGTGGATGGCCCACTATGGTTTGTCCCGTGGGGACCTGACGATGGTACCGAATGTTGATGCATACGTAGGGCAGCTGAGGCTCATTATGACTGACGGATCTTCGCGTTTGCAGCTCCTGGTGATCGGAGGTAATTCAGTCTAGGCTGATGTGAGCGATTATTCCCTGGAGTTCCCTGGAATTCCTTGGAGGAGCGTGTTTCTTTCTTAGGCGAATTCACGAGATTAATGATGGGCTCACTCTTAACATATAATAGATCATCAGTTTGTCTATAGCCTCGCAAGGTTTCAGGCCAAAAATCTAAAAACTTGACGAGAAACATTGATTTTCCAAACTCGATGTTAGTAATGATATTATTCGATGCATATGATTATAATGTGATTATACTGACTTCTTGTCATGACAAGGCGCGATAGATTCACCCCATTTATTCATCTTTTCCTGCGAGTCTTTTCTGATAATAAGGCAACTCATATTTGACCGGTCAGATATGAGGTATTGGATAGGAATTCCGGCACCCGAGAAGGCGTATATATACAAACACTGTATACACTGGGCGTATAAAACCTTCCTATTAGGAAGTGAATTAAATAATCAACTGTCCGTTACTGTTGAGTAACACTTGGTTTTATACGCTCAGTGTATACAGTATATGTATGTATACACCTTCTCGGGTGTCGGCATTCGTCGTGGTTGAGGTATTGGGTCGTTGAAATGTCCACTGTTTTAGGTGCGAAGCATCTGCTGTTGCGAAAAGACACTATCTTCACTGGAGAGGCTTTGGCCATAGCATCGGCACTGGTAGGCATTCTGGAGGCTGAGGCATCAGCGAAAATGTCGAAGCCATCAGTGGGAGAGACTAAAAGACGCGGGTGATACAATTACTCGCATTACTGCATGTTCACGTAAGTTATCAGGTTGTCTCCAATGGTCAACGAAGAGCTTCGTCGGGCAGTTGGGCTATACTGCCCAGTGGTGGAGAGCCAGAGTGATTTGGCTAAGTGAGGCAGCGGAATTCAATTGTTGATTTACCCTCGAAAATAACCGATTCTAGCGATAATCTATATCACAGTTCGCTGCACCAAACGAGGGATAGTTTTTCTTTTTAGTGACGTCGATGCATTGCGGCTGCTGAAGCGTATGAGGCAACTCGGGATATCATCACAGATCATTTCCTAAGAATCACGTCAACATTTCTCCCGTGTTTTGTTCGAACTGGCGAGGTTCTGCTGTGTGTCATCACGAGGTTGTGGGTTCGATTCCTGGTGTCGGTTTTTTTACCGCGAAACTTTTACCATGGCCTATGAGATTATCGATGGTAAGAAGGTAGCTGCGGAAGTGAGGAAGGAGCTCAAGCAGCTGGGGGAAGAAATGAAGGCATGTTCTGCGGTCGTCTACTCGACTTCAGTCTATTGGTCGCATTTTTCCTTCTCCCATCGAATCTTTAGTCACTTTGAATTTCACCAGTTTCTTACTATGAATGGCTCCACTGAAAATTTATGGAGAGTTATAGTGTTATTTCGGGGTAGAGGCTAGCTGTTGAAGTCGACTACTGAGTATCGTATGAGCCCTAGTGTTCTTCCGTTGGTGTTCTTAATGCTGGTTCGCTTCCTCCTCAGTCTACCCATGGTATAACCCCAGGCATCGCGGTTATTTTGGTAGGGCAGAGACCAGATTCTGCAACCTATGTTCGTATGAAGAAGAAGGCCGCAGCGGAGGTTGGGTTCATCAGCAGAGAGAAGGTGCTACCCGATACCTGTACGGAGGTAGCTCATCGTTGCTCTGGGGTGATCGAAGGCCTCGTCTGTTGTGTCAGGAGGAGGTCCTGGCAGCAGTGTCTCGTTTTAATGCGGATCCTGAGGTCCATGGCATTTTGGTTCAACTACCACTCCCTGCTCACATCAGCGAGCAGAAAGTTCTTGGCAGAATCATGAGTAGCGCCCGAGGCATGGTATATACTCAAGGACACTGCCTGATCTTCAGTCGAGAAGGATGTTGATGGCTTTGACCCAGCAAACATAGGTGCCTTGGCTTTGAAGGGCGTCCAACCGAAGGCGATCTCGTGCACACCGTAGGTGGTCGCAGTACTGTAGCCGTCTCGATGGGTGTCATCAGTTATGGGGTTATTGAGCTTCTCAAGCGTTATAATATAGAGATTGCTGGGAAAAACGCGGTGGTGGTTGGACGGAGCAATATCGTGGTATGTGGTGAGGAGGAGTACGAGCTAGTGAGGAAGATGCTTTAGGGAATGCCGGTGGCTCTTCTGCTGATACATGAGAACGCGACTGTTACTGTGTGTCATTCGAAGACAAAGGACCTGCCTGGAGTCGTCAGGAGAGCTGATATCGTTATCGCAGCCATCGGTGGGGGGGGGGAAGTCCCGGGTTCGATCCGAGCACGGTGCATTGTCCCAGGTCGGGCCAATTTCATAAAGGAAGATTGGATTAAAGAAGGAGCTGTTGTGATCGATGTTGGCATCAACAGTGTTGAAGATTCTACCAAGAAAACAGGGTAGATTTTCGCATCGCTCCGCTGTGTTTTCTGTTTTTATCATTTAAGATACCGTCTTGTTGGTGATGTTGACTACGATAATGTGAAGGAGCACTGTTCCTATATTACCCCTGTACGTCACCTCCCCTTGTTATACGTTTTATCCACTTTGCAGGTTCCTGGAGGAGTCGGGCCCATGACCATCGCGATGCTGCTGAAGAACACGTAGGTTGTTGTTTGTTTCGTCATCTTCCTTGGATTGTTCGCTGTCGATCGTATGCTGAGGATTTCTCCTAACAAACACGGATCAGGTACAATCTCGCACGACTCAGCCTCGGCCTCCCAAGACTAGACTAGAGTATCGCCGAAGTTTTCATGGGAGAGTTTTTATCGTGAAGTTTCAAGCGTTGAGTCGCACTTGTGTGTTTTGGGCCGGGGTCACACTAATCTACCTGATCTCTGGGTTGGCACTGAAAACCCGTAGGATGTCACCATCGTTGACGGCTGGTGTCATCTGGTGCTTTCTTGAACAGTTCTTGTGGCAAGGTCTTTGTTATGAAGACCCCCTCTCATATTATGTCATTGGAATTCAGTTGTCTCGATGAGCTATGGAGGGTGGCCAGCCCTGCGGGAGAGCCCATAGACGACCTCAACCACGAGATCCTGGGGTATTTCGCAGCGCCGGGCACGAAACCGATAGAAAAGGGTCGGAGCTACACTGCCATCGCGGAGATGCCCTCACACTTGTTCGTTCGCCAGGGCATCGTCATGGGAGTATACGCGAGCCCCAATCATCTTCTCGTGCGGCCTCTTTTGGAAGGTCCTACCCCTTGTCTGGCTCTGGAGACCTGTCATACTGGGGGTTCTTATGCATACGACTCCGAGCAAGACCATCTGGTCGTCCTCCACACGGATAACTCGAGGGTATCGGTGTACGATATGCAAACTGGGGTGTTCCTGCGGCTCTATGTTGTGGGTGGTATTGTTGTCAATGGGGATAAGACGAATGTCATTTGTGTTGATAATTTGCTTTTGATGACGACTCTGACAGGTAACAATGCGTCATCGAATGCAATATTCCTGGGAGGCGAAGGGATTTATCGGAGAGCGCATTTATGGTGGCATGCCATGGTTTCTCCGGCTATGGACCGTCCTCCAGCTTTGACTCACGTATCGGGTAGAGTGAAGATGGCCTGGGTAGACCCGAAGAAGAATAGTATCATCATGACATATTTCGTACTGCGAAGAGGTCTGAGATCGCATGTCTTGAAGGAAAAAGAGGTAGCCCTCCAATGTGGGGGAACCGATGTCTCCACGAATTTGAAGAGCATCTGGTTCTTTGGAGAACAGTGGCTTGGTATGTGTGACACCAAAGACGGCATTACTTCGTTAAGGGTAGCTGACGAGTCTCAAAGCGTCTGTATTGCCACTGGAACCAACCACTACCGCTTCGCTTTGGAGGCATCAAACGACACGCTGCTCGCGCTATACTCTGCGAAGGAGGACTCTAAGTGCGGAACTCTGTTGACGTACTTCTTCTAAATGAGCTGGAGTCCTTGAGCAGCTGAGGCCAACCGTGTGATGCACACTGGAGAGTGATAATGATTTCCCTTAGCGGACTTACTTTCCATGGACGTTGTATGAAGAATTGTTTCTAAACTCTGGATTGCGTTTGCATGCTCTTGCGGAATCGTATTGTCTGTCGTTGTAGGTGTTCGGGTGCCAGCATATAGGAATGAGCATGTCTCGGTCCTCTCCCGTGAGATCATCCCTAATCTCTGCGAGTCGATGCGTGTGGTAAGCGATTCGTGCTGCGACGGGTGGTCAGGTGGCGAGCAGTTTTTCCCTGTTTCGGTTCCCACTCGGTCATCATGACTTGTCCAGTGTCTATCCAGCGACACTCCGCACCTGTAGGAAGACTCGATGGCAGAGGTTACTGCTGTGTTGCTCACCGGAATGTTGTATCGGCTGTGATGTGACTGACCGTCGAGGACGAGGCATATTTCGGGGCGGTGGCATAGCCGCCCCACGTGGAGAAACTATTTGTAGTAAGGCATATCTTGAGAGTAGTGGCATAGCCGCCCCACATGGAAAATTGGATTCTACTAAGGCATATGTTGGGGTTGTGGCATAGCCTCCCCACCTGGAGAAAATGATTGTATCAAGGCATATCTTGGGGATGTGGCATAGCCGCCCCATCTTGTTGACCGCGTGTTTTCTCTCCACAGAACCAGATATGAGTGGCACTTCCAAGCTATAGTAATTCGGCAGAGTGGAAGAGAGTCGAAGGGTCGGTACAACTGAGCCTCGAATGAAGGCCATTTTTCAAACATGCCTTTGGTGGTGTATAAGACGCCGCCTGCTGGATTCGAACTTGGGTTATCAATGCGTACGATGTCTCAAACGGCTCATACTCGTGAAACTAGTGTCATTGGCCACGGTTAAAAACGAGCTATGAAGCAGTGCTGAAAGTTGAGCTGAGGTGAAAGTTGTGCTGACATCACAGTGCTGTCACGGTAGAGTGGTGGGGTATGAGTGAAAGTGTCCAAGGTTCAATTCCGGGCACCCCCATTCCGTGAAACCATTCGAGGCATCTCGATTTGCCCCCATCATGGTTGGTCATAGTGTTGCTGAAAAGCTTCGTTGGTTGTAGATAACGAGTTTCACCTATGGGCTGAGGTTGCCAGAGTAAATCGAGCTAGAAGGCGACGCTCTGTATGATGCATGCTTGGTTGTGTTTGCGACGTTATTTCTGCTGAGGGTGGAGTTCCTTGTGTTGATGACAAATCACAGGCGTCAACCACTAAAGGGGATACTGATTCTAGTCACTGTGTTTCTGTATGTATGGTGAAATTGTGGATGTCTTGTACTGTCGTCAGGGTGCGTGTTGTTGATGTCTCCTTCGGCAGTAACACTACGACAGGCGGGAGTGGTTAATGCTCAATTCAAGCAGCAAGTAGAGCAAGTGCATGGCGAGATAGACAACAACCAGAAGAAGCTTGATCATATAAAGGATATGGTAGTGGATAGATAAAATATCCGCATGGTGTGGTATGGATTCGTGCTGTTGGGAGTCTACGACGGCTTTTCATACGACTGAGAGTCTAGAAAATTCCTCTAACTGACTGGGAGTGAACGACTGACTTCTCAAAGACACTGTTCATCACGTTTCATGGGTATTTGAGTAACCGTTTCAGTTGAGAGGAGAGATCGCTCCGAAGGTGGACTCCATAAGGTCGGCGGTGGCCCAAAGGGAGCAGGATGCGGCTCATATTGAAGCGTACTGAGGGGGATTCGCTTGAGATTGAGCCCGGTTGGTGGTCATAATAGTGTAGAGCATTATCCGCTTCCGGTATCAGATTGCTGTCAACGGCGCAAGCAGCTCTATCCGACTTGGAATCTGCTGTGAACGACCTTCATAGACAGGTGGCTAGCTACGCCAGTCAGAGGTGGTCTCAGTTAGAGAGGTCCCAGGCTAATAGAGGGTCTATCGGAACGGTAGCAGGGAGAGGAGTAGAGCAGTTGCAACGTCGTCTTACTGTATAACTATCTTGACTACTGTGTATGCTCAGTAGATGCCGTAGGGACTTGAGTAAAACTGTTGCTTTGAACAACTTGTTTGTACCAACATTATCGCTACGTAACAATGTGTATAAGTCCTCATTGACGAACCATGGTACTAGATCGCTCTTGGATCGTTGGAAATCTTAGTGTTGTTATCGGAGGTTAGACTCCTTCCCTTTTTTATTCCAGTTCGGAGCTTACAACACAGCTCCCATCTCACCAGCGTTACCTCTGCCATCACCTTATCTATCACGGGAGCTGCCACCTGAGCTGAGCAAGAGGCTGCAGGAACTCTCTGGCCAGCTCGAGAGGGCATTGGGAGCTCTGGAAGCCTACATTAAGGAAGGCGCCGAAAAGGAGGGGTAGGGCTTCCGGAGATCTCTCAAAGGTTCGCGTCTTCGTCAGTAAAGTGAATGCGGCGAGTGGCTTTTCAGTGTGTATTGCTGTATCGTCGATTAGTTACTTGGAAGACTACAGTGGTAATAGTAGTGGCGTCAATGATGGTACGGGTAATGACATGGCAGCTGATGTGGAGGCTACGATAAGGAATCAGTATAATACCTTCAGACTGCTATGTGCTCGGAAAGCGGTAGGGCTACAGGGGGTCACCTGCAAAAGCAGGTCTACATTGATCTGTTGGAGAGGGATAGTCCAACACTGATAGTGTTGGGTTTAGGTATTGGCAGAGAGGGCGACATCACTGATGCACAGTCAGCACGTCTCACGCAGCTCAGCTGCTATGAATGGCGAGCCCCCGGCAGCAGTAGGTTGGTAGACTCAGTGCTAAGACGTTTCGATGCTCCGGTGAGTTGTTGTGTCAGTCTAGTAAGGCGGGGAGGGTAGTAGGGGAGAGTATACAAGAGGGATGAAGCCTAGAAAAGAATACTGTGGAGTCTGGAACTCAGTCGTAACGCAGCTCGGGGTCGCGAGCAACCGAGGGGACAAGCTGGGTTGCCGATACCATACATCGCCCTGTTCCGCACTGATGGGGATCATTGGAGAGGGCACATATGTGAAAAAGATAGCCCACTGAAAGATCCTTGTGGTGTGTGCAGAGTAGCTTCACTGTGTGCTCATAGCACTCTGTGATGATACATTAATGAATCATCCAAGTCGAATAAGATGAAGTAGAGGTCAACTACTGGCCATCTCAACATTAGTAGCTTGTCGTTGTAATTTTTCAATGGCGTCAATATCGATACTTAGTAGCCTCTCTGCTATCCTCCGCTTTCTGCTGAGCGTGAAGGTCATCGTGGTAGGGAAGTCTTCCTCCAGTACACCGGCAACGTTACTCTATCAGGCTGTCACTGTAATCGTTGTGACGTATTATTCCCTCTACTACTGGGTGGACCGAGAGAGGAGTAAGAGAGGGAAGCAAGGGGAGACGGTTGAACGGAAGTCCCTGCATGCCAGCCAAGAGTGAGCTACGTTGGTTAGCAGACTCGTATGCGTTTGGTATGGAGGTACGTCGATCCAGAAGGAGATTCTCCTGAGAGTGAGAATATAGAGAAGCCACAGTTAGCAAGGCAGAGTACAGGTAAGAGTGGGCATGGTGTGATGGTAGGGTTTTGTGATAGTCTTCGTGAGGTATTTGGTTCTAGTCCATGCGAGAACATCTTGCTCCTCAGATATAAGCATGGACATGTTTGTTAGTGACACAGATGGTGGTGGCTTTTGCAGCGATGATGAGCCCGACGAGCCGACCAAGGTGAGCTTCAGTCTCCTCCAACACTGCACTTCTCCATTCGTCCTCTGGCGGTCCATCGGACTCGTGCCAGTCTTGTGGGATTGGCAGCTCTTCCAGTCGCTGCATGGTTCGCAGTGGGGCCTTTAAGGCGTATAAACGCATGAGCTTTTCGTAACGATACTCATCTTCCCACAACTTTGTAGACCTCTATCTAGCCACATCGCAGTGGAACTCGTTGAGTTCACATAGATCGTTCCGCTCGCTACTGACTTAGATCGTGGAGGAATCGGAGTGCCGACGATACTGTTCTCAGTTGCGTGCGGAATTCCTGAGGAAATGCTCGGCTTTTTCAATGCTTCCATCGACTACATTGATGGCGGTTTTGAAGCATGTTCAGTTGGTCGCATTCAAGAAGGGAGAAAAGCTCTTCGAAGAAGGTGCGCAGTGTCGGGTTTCGCATCCTTACCTCCTAATGCTAAATCTCAGGTGCACCAAGAGACAAAATACTCATTGTCCACAGCGGTGAAGTGTCAGTAACTACGAAAGGGAAGAGTTCATCGTATAAAGTAAGTAGAGACTTCTGCTCCTACCAACGCTTCCGAGTGTACTGTTGATCTCACAGTAATGCGGTTGAGTTGCCGGACCTCTTCTGTCAATGAATGCGATAATCGTTCTATCAGTTTAGTCTGCGCTTTATAGCTGGGCGTAACTGGTCAGTGCTGATCAGGTCCCGGCTGGATGTGCCGCGGTCGGCCTTATGTTCATGCTGCTCTCCTTGGATGATGTTACTGCTGTGCCACACGTCTCTACTGCGGTGGCAATAACGGGTGAGTTGTAATGCCGCTTTTTGCGACTCCGGGAATAATATTTCTTTGATTTTTTGACTCAAGAGTTCGAACGAAGCTCGTTGTGACCCATCGGACCTGTTGTGTATCTTGTTCGGTTGAACCTTAGATACTGTCACGTGCTTGTCGCTTTCCGTACGAGATATTCGGTTTTTATTGACGGACAGTGGCCACGCTCGAAGCATGCTCCACCTCTTCCAAATCCTCAACTTGCGTTTACAGAGGATTATCCTACCAACACTCACCCGACTCTTCGGCCTCACCAATGACTTGTATAGGAGAGACTCCAGTGGAGCACAACATTTATTCGTAGCAGATGACAGGTGCCGGGATCGAACTCGTAACCTCTAGTTCTTGTGCAGGTGCCGAAGGATGTTATCGAGTCTGAGGATCCTGTTGAGATTGCCACATACGCTCTGGTGAGTTTTGGCTGGAATTGGACCTACTCTGCATCTATTGATGGTGAACCTTAGATACCAGGTGGATCGGACCGTGACGAGCTACGAGCAGAAGTGCGGGAATATCTCAAATCGGCGGGGGAGTCCAACCGAGACATCAAGTACCTCAACACGGGCCTCTGCGATGTTCACCCCTCCAGTTCACAGGAGTATCATCTCGTCTGATATCGGCGTTTTATGGTATTCAGATTGGACACCTATCACCCAGGCCATCACTTGTTATCTGATGCATCTCATGCCGACCCCGATAGCCCCACCGCTCCTTTCATGGACGCTCCCGAATATGAGGAGGACCTCCCTCGTCAACGGCCAGAGACCGCATCCAAAGGTGAGATGGACGCACATCACCTTACCCCGACCACGGTATAGTTTGCAAGGTGCCCACTCCCCATTGTACGTTCTGGTGTCCGGAGATGTCTCCGTGGAGATGGCGTCCCCTGATGGGAGCATTCAAAAGGTCTATCAGCCGCAACCCGGAGAGATGTTGTGAGTTGTTCCTCCTTCACAAACAGTACTATGAGGGATGTCTTTCCAGTGGCGTCTTGTCCTGGGCTATGAGTGGCTCGTCAGCGAAGGATTGGCAGGCCACAACGGTGTCGGAGGTCAAGGCCGTCTCTATCCCAGCTGAAATAGTAGCGCCTATGCTCTGGCTTGAATCTGATGGACTATGCTTTGGTTCAGGCTTCTAATGTAGCGTCCATCGCACCAGTGTGTATGCTTTCAATGTTTGCCTCTACCGCGGGTCGAACCAGCGACCTTCTGCATAGGATCGATGCTAGCATTGAGTGGAGACCGTTGGAAGCATCAAAGTGAGTGAGCTTGGTCTCCAGTCGAGGCAGTCCCCTCCGTTTGCCTGTTGAGTTTAACTTATTTTCTGCAACGTAGAATTGCATAATTGCTCGTTGTTCTTTTCAGGCATCTATTCGACACTGGAGATACTCCCCAGGGCTTCTTTATTGTAAGCCTGCTTTCACAGGAGGGAGGTCATCTCTCATGTCGGTCAGGTTCTCTCTGGTCGACTGGTCGCCGTTGGCCCTCCCAAGATGTCTCAACGCTATGGTCACAAGAAGAAGGTCAGACCGATTGTCCGAACGTATGTCCGAGGCGATGTTATTGGCGAACGGGAATGCTTGGCAAGGGAGAAGTAAGTATAGGCGCCGTCGTGCACGGCTGAGAAGAAGAAATCAGGAAGTCAAATTACCACGTCAGTTGCGGCTCCGACACTCCACTGTATTGATCTATGTTGAGATTGTTCTTCTTGTTCGTCTGTGTAGGTACAGTGAGACCGTAGTAGCTGTGAGAGACTCCGAACTATGCCGTATCACTGATATGATGCTCAACTTGATGGGTACGACGCAAGGTGTGCATACAAAATGAGCCTCTTCATTACAGTTGCTGAGTGCCCTCGAGGGTTGCTGGGTCTGGCAGCCTGGACAGCTAGCAGGCAGTCTTCAATCCTTTTACCATCTCAGGAGGTTCAGATGGAGCAGCAGCATCTGGGCACGTTGGACTTGGGGACTGGGAAGGCCGAGATGGTGGGTTTATGCAATTGTGAATCCATCACGACGCGTTAATCTCTCAGACATGTAGTAGAGTCCCCGACTCTCCCACTCCATCGAACAGGACTCCGACCACAATCTGCGTTATGGGGTTGTCGGTTGATGTAAGTTGATATGTTCGCCACCCGAGTACCTCGAATTTCGTTTCCCTAGAAGTTATTCCTTTTACTCTCCATCGTTCTAGCGTAATCCTACTGCTTGGAATTGCATGTCTTGATAGGAACGTCTCTTTACATGATGTTGAAAAGGTTACTGTATATTGGCTAGGCACTATCCGTCGTGCTAATATTTCATTTGCGTTTCACCGTCTTCTTTATCTCGAATAGGTCCTCTTTATGCAAAGCTTGAGTGGAATAAAGTATATGTTTCCATCCTCTCGCCGAGAGGCTCTCGGTTTTGCTTCTCATACTATGAATCTTCCCCACCATAGGGGCACGACTAAACCAGACTATGGTCTGTCAGGTGCCCCTCCACACTGCCTGTATGTCGTTGGTAGATGCGCTAAGAGTAGTCGGCATCACGGCGAGTCATGTAGATCGAGGCTACATGTACGGTGCGGAGGAGCGCTGCTTTATTGATGGTGACGATGAGGTCGTTGCCAGATGCACTGATGTTAGTCGTCAAGCTCTCGTGGATCTCCTTGTGAGTACTGGTGTACAGAAAATGGCGGACTTTTTGGAGCATTGAAATGTATTGGGAGGATCTCGCTCTTGTTATTAGTCTATTGCGGATCTCGAGTGGGTTTGGATAGGCGTCGATTTACTCGCCGTAGTCGCCCATCCGTAGACTCGAATGGAATAAACGCTCTGAAAAATGGTCATTCGTACTCAGTGCGTGGTAGCATTGGAATGTCCTTATTGCATTGCGCCTTGGCGACAGAGCATTCGTCTAGAATATATTACTGTGGGAAGGGCTGATGGGTTTTAGGGTCGACGATATGCGCAGCGTGCGGTAGCACTAGGCGAGCTCGAGGAAAGAGTTGAGGTTGTTGTCTATGAAGCCGATCCATGTGGCGACGGCACTACTGTGAGCGAGTGGACTAAGCTATGTGGAAAGCAGGCGGACACGGTGAGTTTGGGGGGTTCGAGTTAGGCAACTCCCAATTGTGTGGTAGTTATCATACTATGACAATTTTTTTCATGGGAATACATGTGAATATGGTTTTCCAGCTTTGAGGGTTCCAGCGTATGTAATTCTAGCGGGTCATTCCAAGCTAGCTGATACTGTAGATATATAGTTTTTGACTACAATGTAGGTACTGCTCGTATCGTGGTTCGATGGTGACACCAGTCTAACCTTCGCAGAACGAGCATGTGTGTCACCAAATTCAACGACGGAGTTATTACTGCTCCACAGAGAAAGCAGGTGAGAAGCCTTTGTTCGTATTAATATGCAAGGAGGTGCTCCTTTTCAGGCGTGAGTTCGCTAACACTGCCGCGCCCTATCGGGATATGCTCAAGCCGGGACTGCGTAACTACATTAAGCACGCCATCAAGGAGGCCGGTCTGGACGAGCAGCCCGCCACCAGGAAGTTCATGGAGGTGGGACCGGACCTGTTTTGTATCTTTGCCGGTTGAACCAGTGGATACGGGCTCTGGTTATTAGGTTAGGCCGTGGCTGAGCGCCTGCCATCATATTCGGTCGGGTCCGATGGAACACCGCGACTGGGAGAGAATCGCCAGGTGAGAGTTTATGCAACTTTTACGTGTTCAAAACTTTAAGTACTTCGCGTCATTTGAATAGTGTTTTGAGTTGAAATTCCACCAAGGCGTGGATATAACTCTGCTTATGCGAAATGGTATTTATCAAGAGGATGCCTGAGAGAAATGCACTACTCTTGATGAGCTTGCCTTTAATGATGGTGTATTTTATTTAGGATCCTCAGTGGTCGCGCTGTTGCCTTGATGCTGGGTGGTGGTGGAGCCAGAGGATGTGCTCATCTGGGAGTAAGCAATGTTGGTGACACTATGAAAGTTCAGGAGAAATTTTGGGAAATTTTCGTTGGTTTTTGTACACTTCTACCCGATTTTTTGTTTGAACTTGTATAATTAGTGAGGAAACTTTTGAACTCAGCTGAGTAATGCGAGCACATTTTTTCACTGAGCGTAAGTGAAGGTCTCAGCTCTCAGTATGTCCATCATGTCAGGTCCTCCGAGCTCTGTCGGAGCACCACGTGCCGGTAGATATGATCGCTGGCGTTAGCATGGGCAGTTTTGTAGCTGCGGTGTTTGCTATGACTGGTAACTACAAAGCGATGATGGAAAGAGTTGCTGTGGTGGGACGAAGTGGAATCGGCTGGGCATAATTCTTCCTTCTCTTAGGTATTCAAAGACTCCTTTTCCCTGATGAGCATCCTTACTGACCTCACTTTCCCTTCTACTGCATATTTCAAAGGTCATCTTTTAAACAACGGCCTCCAACGAGCCTTCGCCCAGGTGAGAGGGAGGCGCTCTGAGTGCCACCGTGGGTATGATCACGATCAGGTCCGTATAGAGGATCTGTGGTTGCCGTTCATTTGCATATCCACCGACATAGTCGGCTTCAAAGAAAGAGTTCACGACTCTGGAACTCTATGGAAGGCCGTGCGAGCTTCAATGAGCCTAGCAGGATTCGTAAGCTGGGAATCTTGCGGCTGCGCTGATGTTGGTGTTTATCCTAAAGATACCGCCAATGCCCGATGAGAACCACCCAGGGAGTCTGCTGGTTGACGGCGCTTATGTGAATAACTTCCCAGTGGAGCATGTCCGTGCTATGGGCGCAAGTTGGACCGGTCAACCGTCTGAGCTCGAGAAGTGTTGTTTCTGTTTAGGTATAGTCATAAGCGTTGATGTGGCATCAGAGTTCAACCCAATCGGAGCCGACTACGGCGACTGTCTCTCTGGTGTTCCTGCTCTGGTTGGTTTAGCGAGCGATTCCCATGCGGCATTAATTGAATCTTTCAGGTCCGAACCGCGTCATCACTCATCGGCGTGGACCGCTGTCCTCGTCGCAGTCCTAGTAGACCGAGTCCACCCTCTCTGGGGGATATTCAGGAGCGTGAGCATCTACCATCACATAAACAATCTTTTCTGAGTTTCCATCAGGTCTAATGTACATCTCTGATACGGCGAAGAATGCTATTCGTCTACGGCAGATCGACCTCGCGCTTCGTCCTCCGATTGACCAGTTCGCCCTGTTGGATTTTCGCAAGTACAACTGCGTCGTTTTTGGCGAGACCCGACACTTGTCTGCAGATACGAAACGATCGCAGAAGTCGGATACACCTATGCGACGCCTCGCGTTGAAGTAGAGAGTTATTGTTTCTTAGGGGCTGTCAATAGTTGACCATGTTCAGGAATGGTTGCGCAACTCCCCGGTAGGACAAGTGGTAGCTCGTATCGCCAGACAGAGTGAAGCACTCGGAGTACGTCACTCTCACGGAAGAATGCGGGCTGTGAAGAAACGTAAGGATGGCGAAGATGGTGAAATATTAATTTCTTGTTGTTGATCATTAGAGCATTCAATCGCCGTCCTGCGCCGTGCCGCTGCCCGACGGGCCCGATCTATTATCAGAAGATACACCCCCTCTGAGGGCGACAACGAGCTATGATAACTGTTTTGTCTCCTTTCGGTCATTTTGATGGAACATACCAAACAAGGATGTTTCTGAAGGCAACACTTGAGATTTTTTATATCAGTAACGGCGAACTCTTGTAAACAGAAGTAGACGCTTCTGCCATCGAGAATAATAGTCTCCGGTGAGGGATGACGTATGCTAGGGTATTGACTTTTCGAATCTCGGAGATGATGCTTGTGGTCGACACACTGTGACAACTGCTTGGGTTTCGTGGTCGTACACAGCCCCCGCAGTTGTTTAAGCGGATCCTGCTGAGAGGAAAGGGAATACATTGGCAGAAGTTATCTCCGCCCTGTGGACAACACTCCTTGGCATGATGAAAGTAGACAATTTGGTAGGCTAAAGCTGATCCCCCGTGTGCTAATGTGCATCGATGCAAGTCTGACTAAGCCGTGTTGTCGTAGGCGTTGAACTTTAAACTCTCACACACACTTTTTGATATCAGATTTGCCCGGAAATTTGAAAACGCGAAACAAATGACTTCACAAAACTTGACGCTCAGTCGACCTTATCAGTGATAGAGTACTGCGCGTAGTATTTCTGGAAGGCCTCGGCGGTCCTAGCGTCGACCTTCTCGGACATATCGACGCACTCTCGCCCGACCAACCGACTCAGTAGTGTTGTTACCTAAGAGAAATCACAGTACGACACAAAAGTGAGAAAAACGAGAAAGCATTAGAAAGCGCTTCGATTACTGAGATGTACCTTTATAGCTGCACTAGTCTTGGTGTCCTTAGTGGGCAACCAAGTGATAGTGGCTGGTTGGTATAGCTGGGCCATCTGATAGACCATATGGAGGGCTCCATTAGTCGGCACTGTGAGAGAGGAAAATGACAACTGATTCCTGCTTTTGGATCGTACAAGTCTGGGATGGACTATAGTGTCCACAATTGCTCTTCGCAGAGTAGTGGATGCCCACTGCCCCCAGCTGACCTGACTTTCGACCCGCTTCGACAAAAGCCTCAACCTTGCTGGGGAATCGGAGGATTCCTGTTCCGTTGGTACCTGAAAGTTCAAGGAATACGAAAATTTCTTCCTTGGAAGGTTCCACTGCTTACGTGCGCCTTCCGCGAACAGCGCGTACGGACCGGCCCGGTCGTTTAAGATTTGTTCGAGGTCCGGTAGAGAGCCAACCTGAGGCCTCCACTGACCAGGGCGACTCCGGGAAGCCTCCAATAACGCGGCGATCGGACCGAGTAGACGAGCTTGACCGGTTGAGTTGACGAAAATGAACTTCCTAGGGGCCCAGCAGGACAAGAGTAGAAGAACGTCGGTGAAGCTCTGGTAGTTGGAGAGGATTATATCCGATGAGCCGAAGGACGTCGGATCGATGATGGGCCGTATCTTCAGATTAAGAAATGCAACATGGACAACTACGCCAATAACGACTTCGAGAGAATCCTTATTGGGGATGCTACCACACAGCAACGCCGATCAAATGTTAATGATTATATTTCTCCGCAGGCAGTTTCACGTGTGGTAGAACAATTGACGAGTGATAGAACGAATGATGGGTTCACTAGAGCAGACTTGTGGACTTCCACCTTTCGTCAAGTCCCATTATTACCTTTAATCTTCGACTATCTGCGAGGTCTTTATGATAGCGAACGACCCCAACCCCCAATAGAGCCATCCTGGCGCTCAGAGGGTACAACAGTAATGCTAACCCTCGGCCGACTGGAGCTGATAGTAGTGTTAAAACAGTCACTATGAGCTGTGATAATCCCAGTAGTAGTAGTCCTAGTAGGAGGAAGGGTAGACGCAAGATGACCAGAGGGATGCATAGTAGTAAAGGCCGAAGTAGTTTGACGATGGTGGAGTCTCTGGGGGGGTTGGCGAGCCAATGGGGAAGGAAGGGGTTCACACCAGTGCTCGGATCAGCGAAGGCTGTGTATTTCTCCATGGATAAACTGCTTCCGAAAGGGATGCTACTTACATATGAACCAGGACTAGCAGTGCGGAAAATTATGTTCGCTCTCCTCAGCTGAGCTTGAGGGTTTCCTCACTAAATATATACGAATCTGCGTAGAAACGTACAGGAATCAATGAGAATTTCCCAAAATTTCCTCCCATACTCAATGGTCCTAAAATACTCGTCCTGAATCCATCGACCTCAACTGTAGTGAAGTACGAATGCATACTATGCATTGTGTAATCCATGCAGTACTGTCGTCGATGCTCAGATTTGTGCCCTTAGTCTGGCGTTTTACTACATGAGCCTAGAGGTACGCCTCGCACGCGGATGATCAAATAATTTCAGCGTTCTGAGACTGTTTTGGGATCCGCAATAAGATTCGAGGAGCGACGAGCCTCTCCATCGTAGAGCCACACCATCCAAAAGGGAGATAACTCTGACATGAACACACCGCTGGGGTCCGTCTCGGGTGGTCCAGGCAGTCTGAGCGAGGTTGGGAGTGACCTTCTGCATGAGACTTTTGCAGAGTATGATATAATCCTGGCGGCTTAGCGGAGCGATGCGCCAGCGAATTCACCTGTATAACGAGCGGTGCTACTGAAAATGGTGGAGAGTGAGAGAAACCTGAAAACGCGACTTTATCGCAAAGTTGTGTCTTCAGAATTGCCAGGCCGATTCACAGTTTTCAGGGCCACTCGTGACGAGAGAACTGCGCGAAACCGCAAGGCATGCGCAGGGCGCATAATCTGCGCGTGCGTGCAAGATACGTGTGTCCTCGTGACACCTTTATTTTTAGCATCATCTAACCGGGTTCGGCATTTCTCGGACTCTCAAGGGCAGCTTGTGCTGGTTCTACTCACGTATAGCCGTTACGAGCTGCCCAGGTTGGAGGGCTGATGCTGATTTTGCTAGTGTGAGCTATGTTGATCAGATGGCGTCCCATAAGCTGTAGTGTCATGCTTGTGTGAGGGGTGCAATGGGTCTGGGATCATTGGGAAATGGAGGTTGATAGGAACCGTCTTACATTCCCTGCTGAGTGTAACGTGATACTGGCCATTGAAACGGGTTGCTGCGTGTGAACTTATGTGAAAGGGATGCGACGGTGAAACGAATCAGATCAAAACTCCTAGAATTATCATTGACCTCGCTGCTTACGGTCTTTTCAAGTTCTTCGCACTACTGTGAAAGCCCGGGTGATCCGAAATTCGGATCACCTAGGCTTCTATTCCAATCGGATTCCGAATGACCCAAAGCAAGCTGTACGCTGCCGTTTGTATCATTTCCGTGTTGTGGCTAGTTGACGATGTAGTAGTACCGTCCGTGCTGTTCGTGCGGAGGCGTCGTAGTAGTAGCTCTGATACCAGCCCCGCTTACGGGTAGGATAGAACTCCAACGATGAGGTGTGTCGAGATGGTATGGTAATGGGCTCTTGAGCCATTGGTGGAGCTGATCAAGTTCGTGGGGGGGGGTCCTCCGGAGTCTCCGAATAAGTGTTGATCCTCCTCAGCTGAACCCGGGAATTTCCTCACTAATTATAAAAGTTTATATATGAACTCAGGGGCAAGTGTACAGAAACCATTGAGAATTTCCTCAATTTTTCTCGGAATTTCCGCAGATGTCACCTACACATGTAGTTGAGCATGTGCATATTTTCCCACACCGCTCCGAACAGTCAAAGGTTCCATCTCTTCCTCGGAGTCTGTCAGTGTGTATTTGAGATTGTGTAGTTTGGGAGGATCTTCTCATTGGCTTAGTTATTTACGTATTTGCGTCGAAATGGACGGCAATTGTCCTATAGGCAGCAACTGTACATTTCCCGATTCATGTGTTAAGGGCGCTTTGCTCGATAATGAGATCACCAGTGGAACTTGCGTGGTTTGTAGCCCTGATAATATAAGGGAAGGCTACTACTGCACTGATGGAATCGAGACATTGTGTCCGAAGTCATATTACTGTCCTTGGACAGATGCGGCCGAACCAATCAGATGCCCCGAGGGATATTTCTGTCAATCTGGGTTTTCAGAGCCTGGCAAGTGTGGGTGGTCCTCCTATTGTCCATCGGGTTCATTCAGAGCAATACCGACATGGTTTGGTATTCTCATTGTGGTCTTCATTGGGCTGGTCATAACAGTGTTGACCTTGGGTATACACTTTTATCGTAGGTGGCGTAAAATGAGATCTAACAGATATGGGAGGGCGCATCAGAGGACCACTGAGGTCTACAACAGTGTGGTCCAGTCGTTGACCGGAGTCTATCTACAGGCTCAGAAGATGCAGGGCTTCACGAACGATATAAGGTACTCTCCAGTGGACATCAGATTTGAGGGTCTCACTATGACCCTGAAAAAGGGTGGCAGAAAAATTTTGGATGATGTCAGTGGATTTTTCCCGCCGGGGTCGTTGGTGGCAGTGATGGGACCGTCGGGAGGCGGTAAGACGACGTTCATGAACGCCTTGGCTAATCGAGCGCCATATGGAGATGTGACGGGGAAGATTTGGGTTAATGGTTTTGAAGGAAACTTTGGAGAGTATCCGAAACAGGTTGGTTTTGTACCACAAGATGATATTATGTTTGACCGTCTCACTGTTTATCAAAATCTCTATTATTCTGCTATGGTTCGCTTGCCAGAAGATATGCCCCGTGAGAAGAAGTTGAAGATCATCGAGGATGTCATTCAAGTTTTGGATCTCGAGCAAGTCCGACATACCATTGTGGGGTCGCCTGAAAAAAGGGGAATTTCTGGTGGTCAGAAAAAGCGTGTTAATATTGGTATCGAATTGGTGGCTTATCCTCGTGTATTATTTCTCGACGAACCGACCTCTGGTCTGGACTCTGCTGCTAGTATGGCTGTTACTAAGTGCTTGGCAAGAATGAGGGCGTTGGGAATCACCGTAGTATGCGTTATACATCAACCACGTTATGCTATATTCAAACAGTTTACTCATTGTCTGTTACTAGGCAAGGGTGGAAAGACTGTGTATCTTGGTCGGACAAATGCGATTCAGGAATACTTCACAAATCTCGGCTTTTCCCTGCCCCCTGGTGAAAATGTCGCCGATTGGTTTATCGATATTGTCACTGGTGCACTACTCCGTTGTAATCCTGATGATGGTACTGTGGATCGGCACTTCGACGCTGATGCTCTGTTCGATGCATGGAGAGATCATGTGGATAGAATGACCGACCCTTTCCTGGAGGGTGGGAGGGCTCCTAAGTTGACTCATAAGAGGGTGAATGGGACGATGACCATCACTGTGGGTTCATTTGGGGACTCCAGTGACAGTAATAGAGTTCAGTCTGCAGATGAATTGGGTGATAGATTGTCGGATATTCTCAAGGTCCAGTGCGACCATGTTCTTACTGCCCATGATATTTACAGACTATGCAGACTTCTCGAGATTGAATGTAGCATTGAGGAAGCACAAGGGTTGCATCGAGTGATGGCTGCGGAAAATGAAGTCTTGACGTGCTCTAATTTCGCTGCTGCTATGTATGGCGAGGCTTCCGAGGAGGTTTCTATACTCAGCCATATGGTACTGCCCGATTGCAGTCGTTTGAAGAACCGGCAGATAGCCTCGGTATGGAGACAGTTTTTGATATTTACCAACAGGAACATCGAGCTAATTTCAATCCCCCAGCTTTTCCTGGACTTGTCTCTTACCTTTATGGCAGCAGTTATTATCGGTGCGACAGTTAGTGGTGACTCGGAGTACACGTTGGTGCCTAATAATCAGATGGTTGGTTTGTTGTTCTTTGGCATAATGGTGGGCGCGGGTGCACTCCAAGTGTATGGCAAGGAAAAGCTGGTGTTCCATCGAGAGTCGTCATCGGGTATATCCATCTTTTCCTATTGGTTGTCAAAGAGCGTTGTGAACTTTTTCGATAACATTTTGGTGACTTTGGTGTTCACATCAACATGGTATTTGGTGACGACGCCTTCTTACAACATCGCCCATGGGTACGGTATATTCATCTGCTTCACGTGGTGGGTTACTGGATTTGCCCATCTGGTCACGGTTGTCTTTCCTACAGAGATCGCCCTACTATTGTCGGTTATAGTTCCCACCCAGTTCGTGACAATGTTCGGAGGTGTATCGCCGCCTGTGACGTCATTGAAGACCTTCCAACTATGGGCTACTTATTTCGGTGTGGGAATTTACTCGGTGGAGTTGCTGAGTTTGGCGGAGTTCACAGCATTGCCCGATAATGTGTTAGAAATCGACGAAGTAGTGATGCTATTCGATGATCTAGATTACACAACGGATCATATCCCTCGGGATTTCTTGGTCCTCGTTTTTGTTGGGCTGGCCTGGAGGCTTCTCACTCTTGCCTGGTTGGAGTTTATGCTGTGGTGGGGGCAGGCGGACCTGCGGTGGATCGCGGATAAGTTTAAGTGCCGAAAGAGTTCAGCAACATCAGAGGAAGATATCCCTAGAGGTATCGCGGTGGAGACAGTCCCGATGTCGAAGGAAGAATCTGCTGGTGTGACCACTCCCGGGGAGATTGGTGCCAGGTCAACCACTTCCCCCCAATAACCTGTATCTTTTTGCATCGAGTAATGCCAAATTGCCGTTCTTGGAGCATGTTCTCGGCAACGCCCACTAGGATGTTGCCCGTATCGATATCCTTGTAGCTGGTAGTTATGAATCTGATATAATGTTGATATGCCTGTATCTTGTATAATCTCAACTCTATTAATTTGTCTTTCTCACTGTAGACCGCTGGGAGCTATGAAGTATAAGCTTCTACCGCCAATTCCATATGCTCTATGAGTTATGGGTTCGGTGGTCATGAGTCTGATAATGATCTTTCGCCAATCATCGCTATGGCGGTTGTTCAATTGCATCCATCAAGTTAACCGGATTCGATCTCGTATCAATGAGGCAATATAGTCGCTGCGTTGAGTTGGGCCATCAATGATCGGGACAACATCATGTTGTCAACATGGTGATCCTTAGTTTGAACATGACGGTTGGAAGTTGAAACTTCGAACTAACACCACTCTGATATAGCTTCTTCAATTTGTGAATTTTATTGTGTAGTAGCGCTGTCTATCGTGGAAGCACACATGGTGAATAGGCATCCGACGCAGTTCAATGGCATGACTAGTACAGCGAGTTGGGCAGCATATCATAAGGGGTCCACGTTGACCTACGTTGAATAGGACGACGCTAGTCATGCTACTTTCAAATCCCCATTCCGCTCTTGGTAAGATCGAGTCCTCTGGACTTGGTGGCTAGGCCATCACCTCGAGACATGCCTCAATACGATAAATCCATTGGATAAATGAAAGATATCCTCAGGACAAGATGAACACCGGTCCAGTGTTGGCATATCTGCCCCGGAGAGGTATTGGCCATATTAACAGTGGAACCTACTATACTGAGGCATATCCTGTGGTGATGGCATATCTGCCCCAGGCAGAGAAACTGATCTCGACAACAGCGAAATAGGCCTGTATAACTGTTCCACGGTGGGCTGTGGTCCACGGTGGGCTGTGGTCCATGGTGGGCTGTGGTCCACGGTGGGCTGTGGTCCACGGTGGGCTGTGGTCCACGGTGGGCTGTGGTCCATGGTGGGCTGTGGTCTACGGTGGGCTGTGGTCTACGGTGGGCTGTGGTCTACGGTGGGCTGTGGTCTACGGTGGGCTGTGGTCCATGGTGGGCTGTGGTCCATGGTGGGCTGTGGTCTACGGTGGGCTGTGGTCTACGGTGGGCTGTGGTCTACGGTGGGCTGTGGTCCATGGTGGGCTGTGGTCCATGGTGGGCTGTGGTCCATGGTGGGCTGTGGTCTACGGTGGGCTGTGGTCTACGGTGGGCTGTGGTCTACGGTGGGCTGTGGTCTACGGTGGGCTGTGGTCTACGGTGGGCTGTGGCCTACGGTGAGCTGTGGCCTACGGTGGGCTGTGGTCTACGGTGGGCTGTGGCCTACGGTGGGCTGTGGCCTACGGTGGGCTGTGGTCATGTTAATGATACTCACAAGCCTAAACAATATCAGCCTAGCAGCCTTTCATGGTCATCATAATAAACTGGTTGGTGTTGCTCAGGGGCAATAGTCTGCCATCCTTCCAGTACATACATTCACCCGTTGCCCGCCGCGCATCAGAACCCATAACTTCCCCTTCGATCAGACCAAGCACAACTCAGCCAAGGCAACAACAAGAAACGCTTCAACACTCATTGATCAAACGATACTCGCAACGTACATCATCCGCGATGCGTCTCACTGAATTCAAACGCCAACGGCATGCTTGTGACATAGTTAGTGGCGATGGTGAAAGGTAGAAAGGAGATCCGCCGCTCCCTAAGAGGACAGGACCGTAGTATACCTGACAGAACGAAAGATGTCAAACCTGTCCTGAACAGAAGATACGTTTCAGGTCCGGATTCAAGCCAATGTGAAACTCCGTTAACTTACCACCAATTCATCCACCATCTTTTTCTCTATGAACTTAGTAAGCGTCTTCGCTCCGCCTTCTACCAATACTTGGAAAACCCCACGATCAGCTAGGTGCCTCAAAACACCCCCCAAGTCCAGTTCACCATTCTGATCCAATTCGACCTCTAGTATTTCCACCTTCTCAAGACCACTTCTATCTGCTCCTCTTCCAACCACTACAAGCGTCGGGGCCTCTTCCGTGTTCAGAATCTTCGCTGTGCGCAAGATACGCGCACTAGGATCCAATACCACCCGCAACGGCTGCTTTTCCAATCCTTCCACGCCCCTCACAGTTAGCGAGCAATCATCTGCTAATACCGTACCAACCCCTACCACTATGGCTTGTGATAGGGCCCGCAGAGTACGATGACTATCCTCTCTGGCCTCCCTTCCCGTTATCCACTGACTACTACCGTTCTCACAGCACACCATCCCATTAAGCGATGCTGCGGCCTTTCCCACTACTAAGGGAAGCCCCATGGCCCTTTGCTTCAAATACGCCCTTAAAGACTCTCTTATCTCCCCTGTTAAGCAACCAGTCTTAACGTCAACCTGATGGGCACCATATTAACACAACCCCTCACTCCTCAGTTATCCATCACGTTACACAGAATCACTACAAAAGGATGAATCCAGGCAGCGACTTGAAAGAAAACACAAGCAGTAAGAATCGCGCTGGGTTATAGTCACATCGATTTTCAAGTAAAAACAAACCAAAAATCATATACAGTGGCATTTGAAAGAGATTTTTCAAGAGCGGGTGATGCCCATCACTAGACCATCCCCGAATCGAGTCTCCGCCGTACTCACCCCTGCCTCCCTCATTCGTTGAATTCCTCTTCCCGAAACCTTCGGGTCAGGGTCTTCCACACCGACCACCACCCTACCCACACCAACCTCTATCAAGGCCTCACAGCACGGGGGAGTACTCCCATAATGTGAACAGGGCTCCAGAGTGACGTAAGCCGTTAACGTGGACCCTTCTACGGCCTCACCTAAGAGGGTTGGGACAATTCCGACTTCGATCGAAGGCCATAGACAGTCCACCCCCCTACACGACTACACAGTAAGGATAACTTTATCCCGTCCTACTTGTAATAAAAATCATTCGAAATTACAAAATATCTGAACTGTAACCCTCAGTAGAATAATAGATGAACTCGAGGCCCCTGGTGTACCACTCTGAATCATATCCCTCAAGGCATTGACCTCAGCATGAGGTCCTCCCTTCCTGACATGATGCCCTTTACCAACCACCACCTGGCCATGCTGGACCAGTATACAACCGACCCATGGGTCTGATAGAGTGAGAAAATCGGGGATGTGATACCGCGCAGAATAAGTCTCCACCGAAACTGAACTTTGATCCGAACTAGGCTACTCTCAACACATTCAAATTCCATCAGTAATGTTTCCCCTACTGCTTATGGACCCGTCAGTGTGTCCCTCGATCACTGATCCCTCAAAAACACTTCCTGGTAAATTCACGTAGTTGTCAGTTCCGAATCAGGAAATGTTCGCAGGTCCAGAAAAGCGAGTCACGATGAGGCCACAAGAGGCTACACGTCCCCTCGAGAGATAGGCGCTCTAGTCGGTCCCATATCCCCCTTATACTTGGGGGAGTGGTCATTCTTCCTTCCTCCGACTCTACTAGGGCCATTCTCATGAAATCCTCATCGGTGTAAGCGGTGGCTCGGCGGCTGGCCATTATAAAATAAACCGCTATATGATATTGTCACGATCTATGAGATCGATGTAATTGTGTAATGTCGTTTGCAGAATGAAGGTGTTTTTGCAACATGTGCTGTTCTCTGTGAAGTCGCCGTCTTGGGCTTGCCACGTTTCTCATCCCATCATCGATTTTGTGAGAACGTGCTCTCTCTTTGCAGTTCACGTGGTTTTTCTATGTGTTACATGAGAGTTATTCTGGCAGTGATGGATAGAAGTTGACCGTGTGGATATGGACTGGTTGAAGAGGTACTTCAGCGAACTAAAAAGGTTTGCTTTCTACCACGTTGTTAGTCTCATTAAAGAAGCTTGCAATAGTGTGTGTCTGTCTGATGACCCGACATACTGTGTGTTAACTGATCACTGATGAGCGATTAAAACTTCCGGACGGAAGACGATTCTTTTACTTTCCTGGCTGCAGCAGGTCGATCTCGAACAACGCGCTGTCGTGAGATACGTTAATATGAGGTTGGGAAAAGCAACATGTGGCCGATTACCGAACACTCCGCACAATCTACCACAAGAAGTACTGCAATGAGACTGTAGTATGCCCACACAAGCTCTTTCGTTGTGGCATTGCGCATGTTGAACGATATGGGTGGTTCGTGAATCATATAAAGGACGGCACCCCCACCCATGCTGAGATACCGCCGATTTTTAATGAGTGTGATCCTGAGCAGTTGATGTCAATGTAGTGGCACCACACCAGTTAGCCATTGGTGAATTCCCCTCTAGTTCACGTGGGTCAATACACTGTCATATTTTGTTGTGGCGGAACTATGCGGGACGTATGCGTCCAAACTGAATTTCCAAAAAATTTGGAATTGTTTTCACTAAAGCATTGAAGTTGGAGGGTCTATGCCCTATCCATCCCACTTGGAGTTTGTAAACGATATTTTTGAATTTCACTCCGCGTTTGAGGAAATGTGTAGTTGCAGCCCATATAACTCTCATGGATGATAATTCCGAGGCTTTAGTATTTTGTACGATCTCAATGGTCTTCAGTGGTATAGTCGAGGGTGTGGGTGAAGTCGTTGGTGTGAGGCCTATGGTCAAGAATAAGCCCTCGCATGGTATCATTGTAGAGGTAGGGGCTGTTCGCATTGAAGTCAATACCCGGTATTTTGAGAAGCTGTCGATTGAAGTAGTTCGATCAGTTCCATTGCAGATACGCAGTAGAGTGGCTTGCAGTGATGCGTATATTGGCTGCTCTATAGCAGTCGAAGGGGTCTGCCTTACCGTCACGGAAATCAACACCGATGTTTTCACTGTGGGTATCAGTCCTGAAACCCTCATGAAGACTACCCTAGGCGGCCTTACGCCCGGGTCCAAGGTCTGACAGGTCTTCCACCTCCCTCACCCCGATGGTGATATGTAGGTGAATATAGAGAGAGCACTTGCAGCTGATGGAAGGAACTCGGGGCATGCCGTGCAGGGGCATGTAGACGGTACTGGTGTGATTGAGGAGAAGTGGAAGGATGGGGAGAGTCTTCGAGTGAGTCAGCTGTGTCCTTCCTTGGTGATAGTTGCGGAGTATAGGTGAGAATACGAGCCTTTCCTGAGGTCTTGCCGTCTTATATCGTGTCCAAGGGTTTCATTGCTATTGATGGTAATGGGGTAGGGCTCACATCGCAAGGCGTGCGCTGTCGATGAGGGTATCAATCTTCACGGAGATATGCAATAGACTTCCGTGTTATGGAATGTTTCAAAGCGTCTTCCCTTCCTTGGAACTCCACAGTAGAAAGTATTTTCAGATGGAGAGTTAGTAGTATGGTAGTCTACGTAGTAGGGGTAGTGCCCGTCTCTTGCAGGTGTTTCCTTGACCGTCTGTGAGGTGTCTCCGAAGAACTGCACTTTCACCATAATGCTAGTGCCTCACACACAGTCCATGATTACCCTCCCCCATAAGCCTGTTGGAGCTCGAGTCAATCTTGAGGTCGATTGCATGGCGAAATACGTGACTGCTGCACAAGGGGGAGGCGTCGTCACCGGCATGCAGCCTCTTATTGTTGGTACGGCCTTCCTGGCGGCATTGGTGGGGGGACTAGTAGGAGGGTTCCTGGCCAGGAGGTAAGGTCCTACCACTCCTTTCTCTCTTCACACACGATTCGAATGTGAGTTTCAGCCATGGACGTTTAGTGTTCGATTGAGTTCCTCTCTGAATCGTTGGTGGCGGGGTCTGCCGAGAAGAATGAACTTTAACTTTTGTTGGAAAAGGATCGCCGATTTGCAGTTTTTTCCATTACAATGACTGACGAGTCCATCCGTGGGTTTTCCCTCCCTGGAGAAGTTGACGGTCGCGGGTTGAGAATAGGTGGGTAGGGTTTTGTTCGTGGAGTGGTATTGATTTATGGCAGGCATCGTGAGGGCCTCTTGGAATGCTAAAGTGGTGGAGCTGTTAGAAGAGGGCGCTGTGGAGGTCCTGCTTGCAAGCGGTGTGAAAAAGGAAGACATTATCACAGAGTAGTTGGAATTGAATACCACACCTTGGCCTCATCGCAGCAGATACGTGGCGGGATCGTATGAAGTCCCCTTCGCAGTGCAGTTGTTGTTGGAGAAGACCAACGTTGATGCCGTCATCGCTCTAGGTTGTTTGATCAAAGGGGAGACTATGCATTTCGAGTAGGACCCAACAGGCTGTTCTCATCGATCATTTCAATACCGCTCCATAGGTACATCTCAGAGGCGGTTACTCACGCTCTGATGCGCCTGGGCCTTGACCATAAGAAACCGGTCATCTACGGAGTCCTCACTGTATTGAACGAAGAGCAGGCTGAGGCTCGATGTGGCATGTTAGCCGACTCTGTAGTGGACTAGGAAGGAAATGAAATCGGAAGATTTGAGCCCCTGATAGGTCCATGGTAACGAGGCGAGGGAGTGGGCAAAGACGGCTGTTCGTCAGTGCAACGTTATGCAGAAGTACCAATAGTGAATATGGGATGTTCCCCTTGTGGTACTACCGCTTTCACTCATGTCGATGATGGCCGTCTATGAGTTTTTTCTGAGTTTTCTTTCTGATGGCCGTGAGTATTCGAGTTGTCAGAACAGTCTAGTAGTAGTAGTAGTAGTAGTAGTAGTAGTAGTAGTAGTAGTAGTAGTAGTAGTAGGAGGAGGATGAAGTTACAGTAAGAATGTAGGAGCGATTCGTGAAGGGTTTATATGGGGACCCGGAGAGGCGAACATCCACTAGGGGGAGTCTGTTCAGAATTCATCGGGTGAGATACGTCATAGGCGAGATGGTCTGCTTTGTACTACTATGGTGACTGAGGCTTATACGAGAGTTGATTATTCATGCGTTATGGTGTACATATCTCCACCAACCTGCTAAAGAGTGAATACTGGGAAATCATATCCGACATGTTAGCGTCTCGCGCGTCGGTTCAACGGAGGGAATAACTTCAACCAAACTAGTCCTGTGTAGAAAGCGGTGATCATCGGGTGGATGGGTGGTTACATCATCACTGCCCGATAATATACAACAACGTAGTAACAGTAAGGACGTGGGAGGGACAGCGTATTAGGCAGCTACTGTCTCTACTGGTGGAGGAGCGGATAGAGCATCGTCAACCTCCATGCCTCCTTCCTGCTGCTCCTCGTAGATGGTACCTTTTATTAATGAATACACAACGGGAGGCGTGATAGGTTGTAGTACATTGGCTGTCCTCTTTGGACCATTGAGCGATGATCGTAACACGGAAGATCGCCATGGGTATGCCGAGGAGCTTCACTAGTTGACACTGTTCTGGAGTCAATGCCTGTAGAGGACACATAATCATCTAAGAATCTATAATGTTCCCGGGTCGAACTCAATTTTAAGTTCCCACATAACTAGGAACACATTCTTCAATCAGTTACCTATGTAAATGTCATCACTTTAGAAACACCATTTTGCCCGTTAATTCTCAAATCCCTGGTGGATGAATCCCTGGTGAAGGATGCAGGAATCGAACGCACGCCCTATAGGTTGAGAAAACGCTACACTGCCTACCTTGCCAGTTTTGCACACTTCATAATCACCCATTAAACGGATCTTGCCGTTAACGAGAAGAGTCGGTAGGCCGAGTTTACGCAGGAAGGGCTCTTGACTGTGAGGAAAGCGCGACAGAGCATCGTCGCCAGCCTCCTGATGAATAACCCATGTGAGAAGGGCGGGCTGTTGGTTCCTCACCAAAGTGATATCGGCAGTAGACACACATCCACTTCTGGCGAAGTTGGACTGCTCGTGGTTAACCAAGATATCCTGAAAATGAAGAGGGTGACAGAGGCCTATTCGATGGTAGAGTCCCCTACTGAGAGCTGATCAGCGGTCATGTCGGTTAACAGCAGGCCGACTTCACCACTGATATGCTCGGATAAAGCATGGATGCCTGAAACAACATCTAAAGGGGCAGTGGGAAAACTACAAGTTCCTTCCGAGGAGAAGTCCGTATGCTATATTGTCTCATCAAACTTTGATAATAATAATAATGGTGATGATGAAAGGCTGGAGAATTCACCTTCTTGGCACTCCGACTCCGGGTCCACTCCCAAGGCAACTTGCATGACCTTATTCCTCCCGCAGAATAATCGGCCTGAGTGACAGAGTGAGCTGTGGTGATACAGGCAGGATAACGCACCAGGTTTAAGATCATCTCTGAGGCCCTTCAAGAGGTTGTTGCGCTGATTCTCCAGCTTCAGGACGTAGGCGAATCTATGAACATGATATAACGGTAAACCAGGGAAACGATGAGGAAAATGAGGGAAGACGGAAGTCATCATTTGAAGTGATGTTGTGTAACCATCACCAACGCTGGTGACAAGGTAGTAGGAGTATATCGTTCTCGATAATAACGATAGCATACGATAGTTGATATTACCTGAACTTTTCGAGGCATTCCCGGATCTCCTCAATGGCTTTATCCTTCTTAACTCGAGTCTGACGCTTGGTGACCTTAGTGAGGTTAACGACTTGGTTACGCTTAGACTTGGGCATTTGATGAGCAACGACGACCAACCGCTGACGAGGAAGAGCAGGAGGAATCGATCATATGCACTTCTAACGCAACACGATGAAATAAATAGTTTCAAAAACATGCCCTGAGCAGATTCTAGTGATATGGTGACAATAGAGGTAGTAATACGATGGGCATTATCATCAACGGACAGAGGCTAAGCGCCTCTGTGTGTGCTGTACGAAAAGTAATCATCATGATCATCGCCATCTACCAAGAGTCATCACACAGCTGGGTGTTGTCTGACAAGACACATACAAGTGTACTGTTAAGGGAAGGGGGGACTTACCGTTATCCCTTGGCAAGAACATACCGCTGAAGTAGTAGTTAGAATGTAGTAAGGGTAGAATGCCGTGGAGGCCACTGACGAAGCCAGCGATCCAGTAGAGATACTCCGACATGGGGTTGTGCATTCTGATAGAAAAAGTGCAAAATCATTTTGATGGTGGCTAATCACTTCATCATGTATTCAGCCAGATCGAAGTGATCCTCGAGGTTGTGGGCCATCCTCTGACGAGAGCGACTGAAGAAAGTTCGCCTTGCCGTATTGGCCACAGCGGGGCGACTCGTATGGACCTGATAAGGAGTCGACATAGCCTACTCTTAGTAGGGACCGCCAGCATTATTACGAGTTTGCGAGCAGCAGTGATGATCATCTCACTTTGATCTTTTCTCCTAGGACTTACGTATTCAAAATGGCGATTAGGGCGCGCGCTTCTTAAACAAGTTTCTCGCTCGCCATTCTAATCGATTTTATAGCTAAGCTGTTATCCGCCAGTTAAGGATGTAGTTGTTTGCTTATTTAATGTTTAAGGCTACCTTGCCACGGCTGAGACGCTTATGATCGTTTTGAAAAGGCCTTCCAGAGGTAGCCAAAAGTACTATCGTGGTTAGGAAGCCACACTTGTAATATATTGTTACTTTGGTGGTGCCGAAAAACACTCGAACAATCTAATGATAATATGATGATAATCATTTAGATAGGGACAGCAGACTACTACTATAAATAGTGGTGGAGTGTTGATACCTTCATTGACAGTATTTTAAACTGATTAAAACGATAAAAGGCGATGATGATTATTATTTTTCTATGAACGCTTGGCTGAAAACGATGATGCCAACCTTTGCCATTACTGAGCCTATTACTACTACTACCGAAATAACAAATTGAAATGCTTTACTCATCTCCAATGAGGTATGGAAGCCGTCGTGAGATAATGTTGTGGGTGAATTTCAACCGTGGGTGAAGAGAGTGTCTCTGCGATACGTCGTTCGAGGACTGATTCGAAGAAAGGGTAAAAGCGGTACCCAGCAGCCCACCAGCAGAAGCACGAACGAAGTGGTCTAACGCGATGTTAACGTCCATTGTAAATACTATCCCTGTTGTCTCTAACAATGCCGAAATACCATCAAAAAAGGGTAGATATCCGACAATCCACAGAAGAACCACGTCTTCCCTGCATGCAAGTAGATGTGTGATAGGAAGCATCTCTTGTGGCGAAGACTAATCCCTAGGCTGAGACGTTGTGTGATGTGGAGCTCAGTGACGAGCCTCTGCTGTAGATAGCAGTATACACCATCATCAGTCTGGAGAGACATATTCCTGGTCAGCTACATGTGTACATCCTCTCTCTCTACATTGAGAGGATATTCTCGTCGGTTTCTGCACATACCTACCTAAATTCATGTATGAATTCTCTTCACGTTGCTTTAGAAACTCCTGAGCTCAGCTGGGGAAAGTGAACATATACTTGTTATACATGCTGTTGATAAACTCGGTTGCTTTTGTTGAGAAACCTGTCCAAGGGATTGAAGCATGACCGAAGCCTGTTCGCCTTGTCACCCAGTCGCGAACTTCAGCTTGGCACTATCATGGTTTGATTAGTCATGACAATGACCGTACGTAAGCAGTGTAAGAAAGTATGCACATATGCATCTACGTTTGTTGGTGACAATATGGAAACTTTGGGAATTTTTTATTGTTTCTGTACATTTTACCCGAATTCGTATGTGAACTTTTGCAATTAGTGAGGAATATATTCCTCCAACACTGACGATAAAAGGGTTACTCGATACTTGTTGTTTTTCAGTAGTTTTGTTCGTCGAATGGATCATAAATGGTGGAATCGATACTCCCCCCTTCAACAGTGTATTAGAGTGCGTCTGCCGCTGGTCACTATAGAGTCTCAGACGGTAAAGACAACTCTGATGGTTTTGATGTGGTACACAGCAGCTACCTTCTCCAATACGTTTTGTAAGAGGCTCGTATCTCTTTATAAAGTCTCGCCATTGACGTTGACCATGGTAGATGCGGTACCAGCTTTAATTCTCCTCAAGAGAGACGCTCAATCTCGACAGATTTATCGCGACTATTGGAAGGCGTTGTTGATTATTTCTATATTCGCCACGGGGGGGTCTCTACTCCATCGTATTTCACTAACTTATGCTCACGTTTCGACAATTCATACAGCCAAGGCAACTCAACCGCTGATGTCGGCCGTTTTATCCGGGGTAATTTTGAGAGAACACATAACCTCTCAAATGGCCTTTGCCCTTGTCCTGATAGTAGTAGGGGTGGTGATGGGCACCTTGAAGGGCAGTGCAGCTGCGGTTACTGATCAGCTGGAGCCCTCTACACTGGCTGGGATAGTACTAGCTCTATGTGGTACGGTCTGCACAGCTGTAAATGGTATCAACATGAAGAAAATATGGCGTAATGATCGAGAGATCAGTAAGAGCATGATCTTCTCGGTGTCCCGAACGGTCGCTGCTTGCATCTTTTTTCCAGTGTGGCTGATTCGAGACGTCCCCAAGATTGCTGACGGGAGTATTGGCAACCCCTTGGACCCATGGACGGCACTGGCGTTAGGCGTGTACTCTATTGTGATGGTGACACAGCATCTGAGCTCACTATCAGTGCTGCATGTACTGTCACCAGTGAGTCACTCGGTTCTTAATGGTTTGAAGAGGGTAGTTGTCATTGCCGTGTCCTGTTATATCTTCGGAAATTCTCTGAGTGGTCTCAACTGGGCGGGTATTGCGACTTGTACTTCGGCAGTGATATGGTATTCCCGATTGAAGATTGCAAATTCTAAGGCGAAGAAAAAGGAAGGGTATTCAGCAGTTGGAGTGGGCGATGATGGTGACGGATCTATCGGAGGAGTCGACATGGAGACTGTGGCGAGCCATCGGAAGTTGCCGTCGCCAGATAAAGCGGAGGAGAGTCCAGAACGGCAGCTGGACAGATTGTCTCGAATGGTTTAGAAGAAATCTTCGCTGTGCGTGTGAGGGAAAGATACGCCTTATTATGCTACCGATATTGGTATCGATAAAACTTGTTTATTCGTAGTAGTAGTTGTCGCCACAGTTGCATCACGCTTGACCGTAGACTATACCATAGTTGTTTCCTACCACACTTCAGATTGGGTTGGTATTGGCGTGGGGAAAGTCGTTGGCAATGCTTGGGTCATAACTTAGCCGTCGTTCGCTCAGGGCCGATTAGGTAGGTCTGATTTTCTTCTATTTCTAATACCCTGGGAATGTGTCGTTTGTAGGAGGTTTGGGAGATTTATGTGGAACAGAGGAGGAATTTCTGAGGAGGTAGGCTGTTCTATGGGAAGGCTTTGGGACTTCACTCGATTCTGCGATGGTGTTATGATCCAGAGGCGTGATATCTGCCTTTGACGTTGATACTGAGTAGAGCGGTCGTTGATACCTTTGTTGAGTGGATGGCTTTAGCTATTGTAACCCCTATTATTAAGCCGTGGTCGCAGGGTAAGCGATGTGGGGGTACGGAAGCAGTAGTGTAAGGTCTTGTAGCGGTGATGAGATTGGTCAACGTGCTGTGGTAGCGATGTGTTTAGAAAATAGAACGATAAGAGGCACTGTGGATGTTTTGATGATGAAGTAACTTTCAAGGGATGGACAAGTCGCATGAGCGTCACGACGTGAGGGGGATGGTCGCTGAGAGGGGGGCAATATAGTGTATATACACTATTAGCAATATAGTGCTATAAATATGCTATAATGGTTGGTATAGTACTATATAGCCCAGCTATTGCTTATGGCAGCTCATTATAGTGTCGATCGTACTGAGGAATACCAGAATCGTCTTGACAGGAGGGGCTGTGGAACTGACTGATAATTCAACGGCTAAGAGTGAGGGTGTGGAGACGACTGTGGCATGATGAAGGGACCGCTGCCGGATGATTACGGTGGTTTTCGATCTAGTCGGGACTGCATGTTCAGCTAAGGCTTCATCGGAAGAGTTTTATAGCGAGTTTGTATGTTGCCTGGTCATGTCAACCTACGTGGGAGCATCCCAAATGACTTGATGACGATGATGTGCTTGAGGACTGTCGAGGGATTGTCCCCGGCTGGCACTGGAAAGAGGGCTACTCTGTGCGAGTATTTTGAAGCCCTGCTGATTGTCGGAAGCATCATGGTTGCCTTTTATACCAAATTGGAGCCCTTCGAGAACAGGTTGAGTTAGAGATTTCTCGACAGGTATTTCTCCTCTCGCACTATCTCAGCAGACAAGCCAAGGCACGTTGCTGGGCTCACATGATTTTGTTCGTGACTCTTGATGTTTTCTATATTTCTGTCTGTAGCGTTCGGTCGATTCTCCCGGGGTCCTCGAGTGCTGCAGATAAGTCTGGAATACTAATGTCAACTCTAAGTCGTGAACAACTCCATTCGGGGCTAACGCCACGGTTTCAGATCCATCGGGAGATGCCCTCGGGAGGATTCTCTATAGGGGAGAATGGGAACACTTTCGAACTCAAAGGCGTGGCTGCATGCGACCTGGCTTGTCACTGGCCTCTGGAAGCACACGGTAGAGGATGTCGGAAAAATGAGCTTTTCGAGCGGTCGAGACGGGTGAAGCAGTTGGATATATTCATAAGTCACTCGTGGACGACAGCGCCATATGTCAAGTATGCTTGCTTTTCTTTACGGTACAACAGCAAGCAAGCTTTTGCCTTTGTGGGTCTGTGTGCTTGGATTTCGATCCTATATGAATTACCAACACCCCTCATACTGGTTATCATGTGGTTCTCTTTGTTCTTCGGCTATTTACTTGGTGGTTTCCTGTGTTGGGATCGAACTATGGTCTTCTTTGACCAGTTTTGCATCCATCAAGAAGACGAAGTGAAGAAGCTCGAGGGAATAAAGCACATTGGAGACTACCTTCGACTTTCCGATAAACTGGTCATCTATTGGAGCTCAGATTACAATGAGAGGCTTTGGTGTATATTCGAGCTGGCATGCTTCCTCAGAACTGACTCTTCCCGAAATGTTGAGATTTGGCCTCTTCTTGTCATCGAGAATCGAATACGTATAATGTCCTTACAGCAACTATATCTGGTTCTTCGTATTGCTCTAGATGGTTCACCCTATTTAGCGGGCTGGTTAATTGACTTGGTGTTCTCTCTTGTTACGGGGTACTTCTGCCTGTTCATCGACGGCAAAGCGCGATTGAAGCTTCAACAGGATCTTACAAAGTTCGATGGAGAGTCGTTGCAATGCTATCTCGAGGTTGACAGAATCATGATAATGCAACACATCGAGAGGCTCTACGGCGACTTTGACAACTTCTGCTGTGCCGCGAGAAAACTTTTTGCCGATCTCTGCAACCAATGGGGTGCCAATGAATACAGCCTGAGAATAACGCTGATAACAGCCTTCCCGATGATATGTATAACGATTCTCACTGGTCGTATAATCACAGGAATCACAGTCACTTCGTTGCGGATTGTCCTCCATATCCTTTTCTACGTCGTGTATAGGACAGCGGCCATGCTTGGCTGCAGTTCAGACCGCTCTAAGTGGCCCTGCAGACTGCTATGCCTAGGCCTATCTATCATCCACGGAATATGCCTTACAATTGTCTGGGAGTTCGAGGGGGGTCTTCAGACGAGACCAGGGCCTTGGGTTTGTCTCTTGGGCGTTGGCATCCAGGTGGTGGTCATATTGTGTCTCAAGAAAGTATTAATATCTATCACGGAACGGCCCCATAAGTTTTTGAATCACATGTGCTCTTGGCTTTGTTAATACCAATACTGTACATTGGATTTGATACTCTCGTCGTTGCGTTCTAAACTGGTGGATAGTTGTCGAGAGGTGGTTTCATTGTTGTCGTATTGCTTATTCATTACCAATCCCCTTAGAGGTACTCAGAGCACTGCCACACCTCAGAGGGTGATGATATCAACTTCTATCAGCTTCTAGTCGTCGTGTAAGTGGATCTTCGCTCGGAGTAGCTGGGCTGTAGTCGTTGCTTCCTTCACTTCGTTGATCCGGCCCGTCTCCTTGGGCAATAACACTTTCATCAAATCGATCTAAGCTTCGAGTTAGTGTAAGCGAGTCGATCTAAGTGAGATTCACTCTCAACATAACTCCGCACATCATTTGAATTCAGTGTACTGGGTCCGAGTAACTATCAATCCCCTCCATGATGGAACGAGATTTGCGGGCAATTAAATTTTTACATCAGTGTCTTGATGAGGGCCGTGGCTGACGTATCTCCGGGCTGTGGCATAGTGGCCCCAGGTGGAGATATTGATCTTGCTAGGACATCTCTCGAGGTTCTGGCATAGCCACCCCGACTCTAAGAATCGCTCTCACTAAGGCATATCTTGGGGTTGTGGCATAGCCGCCTCGCTCGGAATAATTGATCGTATCAAGGCATATCTTGGCGCTGTGGCATAGCTGCCCCGGTCATAGTGGTAGGAAATATTCCCTTTATAAGGTATCACTAAGGTGGTGTGGCTGCTACACTGCAGCATGAAGGATCCTCCTCCTCCTCGTCGTCCTTTCCCGACTGAGTGAAAGGAAGGTGGTGGAGGTCGTCCTCCTCCGAACCGGTTTGTGGGGAGTCGCTTGATGGGGGTGGAGTCCTTGGGGACAATGGTCATCATGATAGTAGCGAGCAGCACTATGGGAAAGTATGCATATGGGCAGCTACATGTGTTGATGATAATGTATAAAAACTATACAGGAAAGCGAGCATATATTTTAACACTGTAGAGGGGAGTGTCTGCACCTAATGATGGATGGAGGAGAGAGTCTTAGCTTGTTATTATGAGAGATGCTGCACTCATTGTTCGCAAGGTCTCGATATGCGTCTCCTTGGACACATTTGCTGCTCAGTATTTCCTCTTTTGAGTCATGTCGGAAACCGGAAGTATTGACCTAGCATCTGATGTAGAGGACTCAGAGATAGATCAGTGTCGTGCTGAGGTCAATTCCTTCCTCCTGTTGCGCGCTCATGCCGGTTATCAGATAGAGAAGCTATCTGACCTGATTCGCAAGCAGCAGAGACGGCTAGATGCGCAGGAGCTCCTCATCGAGGAACTCTGTCAGGTAAGTTTGGGAATTATCATCTCTGAATTCAGCATAATGTAGTAGTATGAACAGACAATAGTACCGAGTAACTAATGTTGATAGGAACTTCCTCACCCTAGGCCCATTGCGACGTCTGTCTCCCGCCCGAGGCCGCGACTCGTGTCTTCAGTCGGGAGGTACGCCGGAAGAAAGAGGTATGTTCTCGAGTATATGAGGCGACTAGTGAAGCGACCTTTTCAGCGACTGACTTCAGTTATGCGTACATCCGCGTTGGTCTCGGCCATAATGTTCGGTGTAGTATCTAAAGTGAGTAGCATCCCTCAGCTTTCTCGATTGCAAGTAACTCCCCCTCATAGGTGCTGTATTCTCACTACCAGCTGCAGTGCTGTTTTCAACTCTTTCACGAGGCGGCTAAAGATTACATCCCCGAGCTCGAAGACATCGACTTCGGCCGTCTCTCGTATACCGCGGAATGACCATTGAGAACAACTGGCCATGGTCGCATACCCTCAGGCCTCTCTACTTCTCCCCTGCTTCCGGATATGAAGCATCCACGGCACCTTTATGGTTCATATTGAACGTCTTCGCTTTCGTGTACGCCAATAGAGTCCCGCTCTGGTAGATACGAAAATGGTGACAGGTTCTCGGCATTATTGCAAATAGCGGCCAGTATCGTTGATAAGATACTAAGAACCATCATTTTGGTATCAGTGATCGCTGGCGGCGTCGTCTTCCTCTTCAAGTATCTAATGGTTTCCTTATTCTGACCTTGCAGTGCCTTCCTAGGAACTTCGACTCAATCATGCAGTGGATTCGCGAGGATAAGGAACAGGAGCCAGCAGAAGACTCTCGAGTCAGCATCTTGTTTTGCGCTCTCTCGAAATTCCTGACCTGCACTACGGGAGCTTGGATAGGCTGATGTTACTGGCTAAAACTCAGATACCATCGGCATCAATAGGAGGCAGAGACGTGTCGGCATCGCCACTGCTGAACACACAACAGTTGGCATCAACACGTAATTGTACGGAAATGTCCGTAAGTGATCTTTCTGATGAGGAGGCCAGCACTAGATCAACCATCAACTTCACTGGTCCCGTTACTAGGCAGCGGGCGAAAGTAGAGATGAGTTGTCATCTCACCATATTGATGTTGTTCGTGTCAGGCGAACGTAGAACGCATGACTGGTGATAGTTGAAGTGATACCCTTTGTTGTGGATGAGAAAGACAATGAGCGATCGGGCATACTGTGGGGCATCTTAACGCTCTGTCGCTTCATTTACTGTCCATGTACTCCGGCTTACTCAGCAGCTCACGCTGCTGCGAAGATTCTTACTGTGGTGTCATGCTTCTATCGTCACTATCGTCTTACCCTATCATAATTGATTGAGACATATCTGTCGAGACATGTTTGCGATATTTGCTTAGTATGAACCGTCCAAAGCGGTATTTAACTACTTACATGCAGCGGTCTTGTTTAGTTCAAATCTCGTTACCAGAAAATATTCAATTGAATTCACGGCAGTTGCTTCTGGACGCCGCAGAAAGGAAGCAAAGTGGCAGGAACTGGAACACGACGAAAAGCAATAGGAGTTCGGATGAACCAGAGGAACCATGCGGCCAAATGCGACGAATAAGGGTCAATGGGCTACATCAGACTAGAAAGAACATAGGGATAGAGAACATGGAAATAGAAAATTACCGATAGATTCATGAGCAAATCTCAAGACTGTAAGAGACGAGCAAGACGGAACGGTCCAAGACAAAATTGTGTGGATTGTCCCCATGGAGCGTTGTGTACTAGTGTCCCACTTTAGCTCGACGCTAGTACGCTGAGTTGCAAATTAGGTTATTCTTCAAGTGTTGTTATTGTTGATATAGGAGTGGCCTGAATGGTATTTGGAATTTTTGTATATAGTTGGTCGTGGTAAGTATTGGTTTCAAACTACTGGTTTCTATTATTCTGCTTCTGTGGTTACTTCAGTGCCCTTGTGTTTTAGAGTAGTAGTGTATGTAGACTATATTGTATGGTGGTTACTGTTGGTTATGGTGTGGTTGGTAGTAGTAAGTTTGTGGCTATATAAGAACGTTAGAGTTGAAGGTGAAGTTGATTGTTATGTTTGAAATATGTATCGTAAATTCTTACGGTTATGCGATATGTGATGTGGTAATGAGGTGCTGAGGACGGAGTCCTATGAATACATACGGTTACGGCTTGTTGTATGTATGAGTACATACGGTTACGGCTTGTTGTATGTATGAGTACATACGGTTACGGCTTGTTGTATGTATGAATACATACGGTTACGGCTTGTTGTATGTATGAATACATACGGTTACGGCTTGTTGTATGTATGAGTACATACGGTTACGGCTTGTTGTATGTATGAATACTTGTGTATCGGTAGTGGTTTGTTGCATATATGAATATGGTTACGTCTCTTTGCATATGTACGTATAGGGATGAGTAAGATGTCTTTGTATGAGTTATCATTTGGTATAGAGTACACTGTTCCTAGGACTTGTGAACTCATTCTATTAACCAGGAGGATAGTGTGATCCTCTACTTACCCGAGCGGTGGGAATCATGAACTATTTTTACGAATATGGTGTGAAGCTGTATTCTATGAACACTCTATGTCAGTCAATACGGTTAATAGGTTGTGAAATTCCTCTACGAATACGGTTAATAGGTTGTGAACTTCTCCTAGGAATACGATTAATAGGTTGTGAACTTCTCCTATGAATACGGTTAATAGGTTGTGAAATTCTCCTATGAATACGGTTAATAGGTTGTGAACTTCCTCTACGAATACGGTTAATAGGTTGTGAACTTCCTCTACGAATACGGTTAATAGGTTGTGAACTTCCTCTACGAATACGGTTAATAGGTTGTGAACTTCTCCTATGAATACGATTAATAGGTTGTGAACTTCTCCTATGAATACGGTTAATAGGTTGTGAACTTCCTCTACGAATACGGTTAATAGGTTGTGAACTTCCTCTACGAATACGGTTAAGAGGTTGTGAACTTCCTCTACGAATACGGTTAATAGGTTGTGAACTTCTCCTATGAATACGGTTAATAGGTTGTGAACTTCCTCTACGAATACGGTTAATAGGTTGTGAGCTTCTCCTATGAATACGATTAATAGGTTGTGAACTTCTCCTATGAATACGGTTAATAGGTTGTGAACTTCTCCTATGAATACGGTTAATAGGTTGTGAACTTCTCCTATGAATACGGTTAATAGGTTGTGAGCTTCTCCTATGAATATCATGTGAGCTTATTCTATAACATGGTGAATACGTGGTGAACTCCTTTTACGAATACGATGAGCTTTATCTACAGTGTTCGCTCTTTCATGAATACTGTGTGAACTTCTATGAATTTGGTGAATATGTTGAAACTTATTCTATGAATATGGTGTGAAATTTGTCTATGAACTTGGTGAATATGTTGTGAACTTTCCCTATGAATATGGTGAATACGGTGGGAACTCTTTCTATGAATACTGTATACTGTGTGAGCTTGCAAGGTGTAAACTTCTTGATATGACTACGATGTGAGCTTCTCACGTTGTGAGCTTCTATGAACTTGGTGAAAACGTTGTGAACCTTTTCTATGGTGTGAACTTCTTTTAGGAATACGGTGTGAACTTCCCCCATGAAAATGGTGAATACGGCGTAAACTTCTTATGTTTTTCTATCGAAATGGTGGATAAGGTGTGAACTTCTTCTATGAATACGGTGTGAACTTCTCCTATGAATACGGTGTGAACTTCTTCTATGAATACGGTGTGAATTTCTCCTATGAATACGGTGTGAATTTCTCCTATGAATACGGTGTGAACTTCTCTTATGAATACGGTGTGAACTTCTCTTATGAATACGGTGTGAACTTCTCCTTGTATGAATACGATGAATACGGTTTGAACTTCTTACGTAGTGAGCTTCTATGAATATGGTGAATACGTTGTGAACTTCTCCTATGAATATGGTGAGTACGTTGTGAACTTTTTCTTCTATGAATATGATGTGAATTTCTTCTATGGTCATGGTGTTTTCTATGAATTTCTTCCATGAAGTCTTTGTATTATAAGATGAGATTCTCTTGAACTGTGGGATGAGCCTTCTATGCTACATTTTAAACGTTCATAGATAGGTTATGTGGGCGCCCACGATGCGATTTCTGATACGGTTTTGGTTGGAACGTCTTCTCTCCAAGATATGTTCTCTTCTTCGGATCTCTCCTGCAGCCATAGTGTTCCTGTTCGTGATTCCCTCAAGTCATACTTCGGTCGAAGGGTTGGTTGAGCTATATAAAGGGTACATTGACTTATCATCGAGTGTATTCCTATCGCTCATCTCTGGTGAAGCTATTGGTGGTTGGTGAGTTTGAAGGCGGTGTGGACTTCTTCTGTGGATATAGTGAATACGGTGAACTTCTTTCACGAATACGGTGCAACCTTCTTTTACGTTGTGCACTTTTTCATGAATACGGTGTGAGCTTCTTCTATAAATAGGATAAACACGTTGTGAACTCTTATGAATATGATGAATATGGTGTGAACTTCTACGAATATGGTGTGAACTTCTATGAATATGGTGTGAACTTATATGAATATGGTGTGAACTTCTATGAATATGGTGTGAACTTATATGAATATGGTGTGAACTTATATGAATATGGTGTGAACTTATATGAATATGGTGTGAACTTATATGAATATGGTGTGAACTTATATGAATATGGTGTGAACTTATATGAATATGGTGTGAACTTATATGAATATGGTGTGAACTTATATGAATATGGTGTGAATTTATATGAATATGGTGTGAACTTATATGAATATGGTGTGAACTTATATGAATATGGCGTGTAAACTTCTTCTATGAATACGGTAATTATTCTTGAATAGGGTAGATACGTTGCGAGCTTCTTCCATGAATATGGTGGTGTGAACTTCTTCCATGAATATGGTGGTGTGAACTTCTTCCATGAATATGGTGGTGTGAACTTCTTCCATGAATATGGTGGTGTGAACTTCTTCCATGAATATGGTGGTGTGAACTTCTTCCATGAATATGGTGGTGTGAACTTCTTCCATGAATATGGTGTGAACTTCTTCCATGAATATGGTGTGAACTTCTTCTATGAATATGGTGTGAACTTCTTCTATGAATTTGGTATGGACTTCTTTCATGAATATGGTGTGGCCTATGAAAGTGGTGTATACTGTGTGAATTTCCTCTTTGAATACGGTGTGAATTTCATCTTTGAAAATGGTATGAACTTGGAATACGGTGTGAACTTCTCCTTGTATGAATACGGTGTGAACTTCTCCTTGTATGAATACGGTGTGAACTTCTCCTATGAATACGGTGTGAACTTCTTCTATGAATACGGTGTGAACTTCTTCTATGAATACGGTGTGAACTTCTTCTATGAATACGGTGTGAACTTCTCCTACGAATACGGTGTGAACTTCTCCTATGAATACGGTGTGAACTTCTCCTTGTATGAATACGGTGTGAACTTCTCCTATGAATACGGTGTGAATTTCTCCTTGTATGAATACGGTGTGAACTTCTCCTTGTATGAATACGGTGTGAACTTCTCCTTGTATGAATACGGTGTGAACTTCTCCTTGTATGAATACGGTGTGAACTTCTCCTTGTATGAATACGGTGTGAACTTCTCCTTGTATGAATACGGTGTGAACTTCTTCTATGAATACGGTGTGAACTTCTTCTATGAATACGGTGTGAACTTCTTCTATGAATACGGTGTGAACTTCTCCTACGAATACGGTGTGAACTTCTCCTATGAATACGGTGTGAACTTCTCCTTGTATGAATACGGTGTGAACTTCTCCTATGAATACGGTGTGAACTTCTCCTATGAATACGGTGTGAACTTCTCCTTGTATGAATACGGTGTGAACTTCTCCTATGAATACGGTGTGAACTTCTTCTATGAATACGGTGTGAACTTCTTCTATGAATACGGTGTGAACTTCTTCTATGAATACGGTGTGAACTTCTCCTACGAATACGGTGTGAACTTCTCCTATGAATACGGTGTGAACTTCTCCTTGTATGAATACGGTGTGAACTTCTCCTATGAATACGGTGTGAACTTCTCCTATGAATACGGTGTGAACTTCTTCTATGAATACGGTGTGAACTTCTCCTACGAATACGGTGTGAACTTCTCCTACGAATACGGTGTGAACTTCTTCTATGAATACGGTGTGAACTTCTCCTTGTATGAATACGGTGTGAACTTCTCCTTGTATGAATACGGTGTGAACTTCTCCTACGAATACGGTGTGAACTTCTCCTATGAATACGGTGTGAATTTCTCCTTGTATGAATACGGTGTGAACTTCTCCTTGTATGAATACGGTGTGAACTTCTCCTTGTATGAATACGGTGTGAACTTCTCCTTGTATGAATACGGTGTGAACTTCTCCTTGTATGAATACGGTGTGAACTTCTCCTTGTATGAATACGGTGTGAACTTCTCCTTGTATGAATATGGTGTGAACTTCTCCTTGTATGAATACGGTGTGAACTTCTCCTTGTATGAATACGGTGTGAACTTCTCCTTGTATGAATACGGTGTGAACTCCTTCTATGAATACGGTGTGAACTTCTTCTATGAATACGGTGTGAACTTCTCCTTGTATGAATACGGTGTGAACTTCTCCTTGTATGAATACGGTGTGAACTTCTCCTTGTATGAATACGGTGTGAACTTCTCCTTGTACGAATACGGTGTGAACTTCTCCTATGAATACGGTGTGGACTTCTCCTTGTACGAATACGGTGTGAACTTCTTCTATGAATACGGTGTGAACTTCTTCTATGAATACGGTGTGAACTTCTCCTACGAATACGGTGTGAACTTCTCCTACGAATACGGTGTGAACTTCTCCTATGAATACGGTGTGAACTTCTCCTTGTATGAATACGGTGTGAACTTCTCCTTGTATGAATACGGTGTGAACTTCTCCTTGTATGAATACGGTGTGAACTTCTCCTTGTATGAATACGGTGTGAACTTCTTCTATGAATACGATGTGAACTTCTCCTATGAATACGGTGTGAACTTCTCCTATGAATACGGTGTGAACTTCTCCTATGAATATGGTGTGAACTTCTTCTATGAATCAGCGGGAGGAGTCATTCTTAGTGATATCAGCTTCTCTTGAACGGTGCGCCTCTAAGACAACATTCTTAGCGTTTCTAGATAGGTTATGTCAGTGCTTATCATGAGGCTTGTATGTTACAGATATGGTTGGAACCTCCCCTCTCTTCTTGGAACTTTTCTTGCTTGAAGTTCTCTTTCTGCATCCACAGTGTTCTTATAGATGATCCTCTCAGGTAATACTTCCGCTGAATAGTAGGTTGAGCTAGGTAAAGGATACATAGTCTTATCACCAAGTGCATTCGTATCGTTCGCCTCTGGTGAAGCCGTCGGTGGTCGGTGATTGAAGTGTATTTGGTCATGGTAAAGTCTGCTATTGTTCCTCAACAACCGATCACGGCAGAACCTGTTGGGAACTCTTCTGCGGTTGTGTCTTGGCTGTTAGGCCTATAAAGATAGCAGGTCCCTTACTCAACTATTGTGGTCGCTGCACGTGGTGTATGCTGGTAGTTTATGTCGTGTAGGTGTATTATCATCGTTGGTTACAAAGATATTCATGGTCGTTTTCCACGTTCTCCTTAGAAGCCGTATACTTCTTCCTTTGGCATCAGGGCGGTTGGTTGGTCGATTAATAAGTGTAGTTTTCCTCATGATTCTCTCATTCTCAGCGGTGCGTACTGCCTCTTAAAGCGTATGTGACCCATCATGAGTAGAGTGTATTATGGTATCCTTGGTTAGTTATGGTACAGGTATCGATCGAAGACGAATTGGTGCTGGTGAGTTGGCATTAACTTTACCCGTGGTCTTTTCTGGTTGCCAAAGTGAGTGAGTCCGGAAAGGTTATCGAAGTAAGATGGTCGGAGAAGTTCCAAGCATGCCGATCATGATTCCTTCCCGAAGTATGGTGATTACTGCGTGAACTGATGATATGTGTTTTTGTAGTCCATCATTCCATTTACTTGTTGCTGATGATCTGTTTTGTAGATTATCTTGTGATGCTGCTTAAACACACCTTGTTGCGTTTTGCAGTCGGAAACTGAACGGAAACTGAATACGGAGGATTATTAGTGATTGCATACCCGTTGTGTAAGCCTGCAGAGTTTCTAATTATAGTACTCGTTGTCAGTAGTGTATCACGGTTCTCTGTCGTGGTGCAAAACTGGGTCATTGATCGACTCTGTTACCGATATCATGAGGTTCTTCCTCACCTTTTCCATTGCTAATGTTCTCTTCTTCGCACTCCCAACACAGAACACTCAGACTACTCAGAAACATCGGCATCTTTCTTCATGTTAGCTGCCAACAGGCATCCAAAAGTAAAACTGCTTTAAATGATCGAGAAAGTATCCGCAAATATCATACCTGCGAATAGCCTCCGTTTGTGGCGTTACTGCGTATCCTACCAGACGGTCTGGAAGACGTTTTGGCCGGGCGGAGGCGTGTCGGTGAAATCGAATCGCCATACCAGGTACACCTTCGACCGATTGTATTTCCGGTTACCGCGTTCTCTTTTGATCTATTGGGAAAATTCAGAATCATCTTTTCCATGAGAGCTTACCATTTTCCCGCTGTAAATTATAGCATCACCGAGATCATAGGTAACCGACGTGTTACCGTCTGGGCCACTCCTCGTCAGGACGCCTTTGAACACATTCATGGCCCGAGTCCACCACCAATCGGCACTAAGGATCGACAGCATGCCCCCCGCGCCCAGCACAACTACACCCTACGCGTTCTTCCCAGCAACATGATGTGACCCTGGCAATACCTAGTATGAAGCTACTCACGTTATTAATAGAGCCCAAGCCTCACCATAAGAGGTCCTAGCATCTCATCATCTAAGGTAAGTGGCACTACGACCGTCAGGCCTCCAGCACCGTTATCCAAATGCCAGAATTGCCCTTGGGCTACTGGGTTGGCCACGACCATTTGCATCTGAGCATGGACCCTGCAAGGCACCATGAGATGCGCCTCCTACGTCCGATATGTATAAACGTGGTGCCACTGATGGTATCATGTCCGGCCCCGACCCTAGCAACCGATAAGGAAAGGAGTTCCCCTATACACTATACTCACCA